GAGGTTCTGCTGAAAGCAGCGTCTGATTGTGACACTGTGACGTCCTGAAAGGCTGCACTTGAACAGGCTGTGAAGAAAACCTCGACAGCCCGTGGAGTTTGGAATGCAGCCAATAACTCTCGTCATAATTTTTCTTTAATTATTGTGTATTTCGTTTTTTCCCCGATAAGTTCTGAAGAATAATAATCTGTCTTGGAGCTGTTTTAATAGAACAGATCTGAAAGAATGGCTTTGATGTCGCAGAGAACCGACACGTTCTACTCCTCATTCCTCATTTAACTTCTGGCCGGGAGTCAAAATGGCGCTCTCCTACACAGCGAGGCTAGGAAGTCAATCTGGCCAATTTACTGGGTCAAAGGCAACTTCTGCTTCCCTCTCCACCAGCACTTGTGTGGAGCATGTGGATAGGCTAATAGAAATGGTGAACTGTGTCTCATTCTGCTGCGCTTTAATCACCTGCTTCACAGAGTCTGTGTTCTCTCACTGTCTTGATGGGGAGCAGGGAGTAAAATAAAGGCTGGACTCGTACGAACCCCTGAACCTCAGACTTAGGCGACAGTGACATCACCCTTTATCCAATGAAATGTTTGTTCTCTCATTACTATAAAGAATAAAGCAGAGGGGATTTGGCTGCTGCTGATACAAACAAATCGGGCAGTTCATATAATCCTGTATGGAGAGAAGAATCTCAATCTCTCTCAAGCGTTCCACTCGTGTCTGCACTTCCACTCAGATTTTAACTTAGAAGAGTGTTTTCTCTTTACCAGTCTCTACCATATGTATGTACAAACTCAGGCTTTTTGAAGGATGACCTTTCAAGGCATGCTGCATATTTAGATTTGGTTCTTCAGGTCAGTAGCAAGCTGCTGTTAACACACTGGATCACCCACACACACAAGGAAGGAACATGGAAAATTCCAGTGAATCAACCACAAAAAAGACTGATTATTTTCCCGCAGTAAGGCAGGAACACTGTTCGAGCCTGAGTTTGTTTCATGTATTTACACATATGTAATTTAGACGCTGTATACCTTTGACTTAAATTTACTTAAATGAGTGCTTTGTGTTTATAGGGGATTTGCATTTATGTCGATGAAAATGACCCAAAAATAGAATTATTATTTATAACACAAATTAAGTTGTTCTTTAAATTATATATATATTATAAACACATGGTGCTTTGTAGTCTAACATTCTTCTTGTTTGTGTCCTACAGTTCAGCAGATGAAAAATTCCGTTGGAACAACCAAGGTAAATTCTCCCGAATACAATTTTTGCAAACATTTGTCTATTTTGTCAGGTCATTTGGCCCTTGTGTTGCTGAATCCTTTTTTATGAAAAAAAACTCTACTATATTGCATTTACTTTTGATTGATGCCACATTCAAAAGAAGACGAGCCTCCTGCCAGGAGAGGCTTCATTTAAAATTCTCTAAAAACAAAACATTCTGCCACATCTACGAACCTCATCGGAAGTGACAACTAAAAAGGTCAAACAACGTTTGCAAATAATTCTACAAATTTAGTTTAACTTGTTTTTGGCAGCAGATGAAAAGTGTTTTCTGCAGAGACCAATAATCAATGATGTCTGTGGACAACTTTAAGGTCAAAACACTTCTGTGGAATTCACAAATTCACTGACACACACAAGCAAGAAGAAGAAAAAAAAACTGAAACAAAAGTTCTCTCTTCTGTTTTTTCCCTCAAACCTATTCAGTTTTGATGTCACTGAAAGCCCAGCTCAGTGCAGACCTTTGTCAACAAGGAGTTTATAAAGACCTGCAGTCAGGACACTGTAAAATCTGTTGCCAAGGCCTAAAGTTCAAATACACAGCTAACAAGGAGAAGAGGGAAAAAGACTTACCTACCATCATGCTGGAAGGTTCTGGATGTTCAGTCCAGGAATGTCCAATGTCCAGGCAAACAGTTGTTTCATGTTGCCAACATACACACTTTTAATCACGGTGAGGTCTGCAGCAGAAAAACACAAGGGTAATTGACAATTTGGACACTACAGGAAAAACACAGGTGAAGCACGGACTCTAAGACTAGAGGGCAGGACACAGGTGAGCACATCGGGTCATCAACTTCAATAGTTAAATCAAATATTTTTCATATAATACATTGAAGATTTTAAGTTGTCTAAATTAGGTAAAAATGAAAATAACTTGAGAAAACTTTTTTTCAAATGATTAAGGCTTTGCAACAGATTTTATTTTAGCTCCAAAACTGAAAGTGCTTCCACAAAAACTGAATGTTAATTCTTAGATGAAGCAGAGAAGCAGGCTGTGACCTTGTGTCAAAGGCATCCACCACGATTCTGCAAAGAAGAAATTCTCTGATGGAAACATCACTACCAGATGTGTTTTCATCCATAACTTCTTCATTTATATTCATATAAAATTTGTTTGGTTTTTGCCTTTTCAGGTAGATAACTTGTAACATATAACTGTAAAAAAGACATGTGTGCACATACAGATGGACCAAAGGACATAGAAGAAGAGTTGACAACAGGCCTGGAGCTGGTGGACTCATGCATTCGATCCCTCCAGGAATCAGGCATTTTGGACTCACAGGACACCACGACAACAGACAGTAAGTCCAGCACCACCAGGACGAAGGAGGGGCTTCTAGAGGAGAATGATGGAGCTGCATATTTATATCCTTTGTCTCCTTCTCCCGCTCCATTCCTTCACGTAAAATTTCCTGCAATGGTATCTACATGAAAATGACATAGTCAACAGTGGGGTTTTTTTCTAAAGATATTTCCACTGCAGGTGACTGACTTCACCCTGTACTGACATCTTTTCTAGTGGTCCCAATGGGAAAGACGGAGGTGTGAGAGAAATGCAGAGACACGCCAGTTGTTTGATATGTTAATTCAAAATGTCCTGCGCTCTCTCTCTCTCTCTCTCACACACACACACACACACACGCATGCACATGTCAGTATTTCTGGCTCAGCGAGGACATTCATCGACAGACTGTGCTGCAAGTGCAGTGGCTTGGGTTTTTCAATTTAAATGTAGTTATGCAGATTAAGATTTTTTATGTGCATAGGTCTTCAATGTAATGTCATGTCAGACTACACTGCATTGATGTGGTGCAACAGTATAATTATTTTAGAGAGAGCTTTAAATAAGTACAGCTGTTCAATGCAAAGTGAAGTGAAATATTTTTTAAATATTTAAAAATTCTGATTTTTTTTATTTCTTCTTTTTGTTTTTCTTCTTTCTTCTCGCTCTCATCAGGACAAGGTCTGCTGTCTCAAACGGCTCTGCAGCTTAATAATCAAGATGCCTATACAGGAGCTGGTTACCATAGTAACCAAGGCCTGACACTTGGGGAAACAGTCTCTTGTCGGAGTGGTCAGGTTGGAGGGGCACTTCACAGCTATAACCAGGTAGAATCACACACTCACACACGCACACACGCACACATGACTGCACATAGACAACATGAGTCTCGAGAACATGGTCCTGTATATTTCCTTAAGGCCCGTGTTTTATGTTTCTTTTTGTTAAGCTAAACTGCTATTAATTATTATGCTTGCAAGTGTATGTAATATATTTAAGAATCACATGACCATTTGAGTACACATAACAGAGGCCTGTTTACTTTAAGAGAATACAGTACAACCAACAACCAGACTACTTGGAAAAAGATTTTTTTTCACCAACATGAAACTGAAATTAATAACATGTATTGATCTTTGTGTTTAGTTTAAATTGATTTAAACAATAATAATCGAACGCTAAGTGAATATGAGGTGCAGTTTGTTACAAAAAGCAACAGTGAATTGTGTCGTTTCTACCTCTACACTCACACATATACACCACCACATTGCCGTGCCCGTCTCTACTCATATTTCCCCTTCCTTCTTCTCCCTCCTCCCCCCCTTCATTTTCATACCTTTGTACTTCCTCTCTTGTTGCCTGACTCCCATCTCCATACATCTGTCTCTCTCTAGGTGACATCCAACCGTGCAGCTGCCCAGTTAGTGGGGACTAACTCTCCCTCCCAGTCCCAGAGAGACTCATTTGCCCAGCAGGGGTTCCATATATCCAGTGAGGGGGGGCCTGGACCTGCTGGACCATCCATGTATTACTCCTGTGCCACATTACCTGCTCAGGTACACTGCCTACTGCTAAAGTCAAGAGACATATTAAAACAAGTAGCATCCATCATCATACTCCTGTGACTTCAAGTACTTCAAGTAATTAAAACAAGTAGCATCCATCATCATACACCTGTGACTTCAAGTACTTCATGTTATTCTTTAAGCTTTTTTTTACCCTTTATCCAGTCAAACTGTAATACCACCACGGACCAGTGAATCTTGTTAATGTAGACACACACACACAGCCACATTACAGTTCAATAAAATAAAATCAAACTCCTCTTTACAGCGTGTTAGCTCACCTTTGCAAGCAGTGGGCTCACCAACCAAGCTGCAGCGCCTGGGTTCAGCCTCCTCTGACATGCCCAGCTATGCCACACTACAGAGAGTGTCCTCACCCAAACAATCCCCTAGCCGACTCGCAAAGTCCTACAGGTCAGTGTGACGACATTGATTAAATATCACCTATGAATGATACATATTCATAAATGAAAGGTTTCTGACTTTAATAACTAAAACAAATTGTTAAGCAGTGCCCCCCAGCCCTCCTTAATCGCTCCACTTCTCACTACAGCACTTCATCGCCCATTAACATGGTAGCATCTGGCACTGCCGGCTCCTCCTCGCCTCTTCCTGCAGCAGCGTCTCCGGGAGAAAACCACACCTCTTCACCCCTCCACCAGCTCAGCTCCATGGTGGGGAGCTATGCTACTCTGTCACCAACTAAGCGCATGCTGCATCACATCGGAGGAGACACTTATAAGATTTCCCACGAGCTCTTTGCCAATGCAACCCTGAAAAGGCCTGGGAGCCTGGCAGGTAGAGGTCAAGACAACCTTTTTTTTCTCTTTAGATGTGCATCTGTATATGTGGTCCTGTCTTCCATTCATTCCATTTTTACAACAACCCCACTGTCACAGAACAACTGCTAGAATTGGCTGCAGCTCTCCCCTTGACCATGACTAAGCGATAAAAGATGAGGGAATGATCCAGGAATTAATTTTGGGAAATGTGTAGTAGTTGATAATCTTGTAAACCCAGATTAAAAATCTTTATCTCATGGAAAATGTCAACATTATCCATCACGCAAATCATCATTACTTTCATATGCCCACCATGACCCTACATTCAACTGTGGAATATCAATCACTGAAGTTTTGCTATTTGGAAGTGTTTGTATAAAGCCTCTACTGACCTTTAACCACACTGTGAAATTGTTTGAAATGTTACTGCCTGCGTCAGCGGCAGAACTTAATGATGATAACCTAAATTGTTATATATATTCTTTCTAACAATCACTGACTCCATTTATCACACATTTGTGTTGTCCAGGCTCCAGAGGCTCCTACAGCAGCCAACACAGTCACCTAGGCTCGGAGCTCCGGCCTCTGCAATCTCCTGAACACCACATCGACCCGATCTATGAAGACAGAGTATACACCAAACCTAGCCTTAGAGGACAAGGTGAGCAGAAACAGAATTACAGAGGATAGTTAATCACACTGTTAATGCATCCCATTAACTCAAGGCTAAGAACATGTTTACTAGCTTTAATAATAACAGATGATCTAAATCATAGTTTTACTTGTCAGTCACATGAAGCAAATGACTTGGAATCTGGAAATGAAGCCATAGGTTTAGTTATCTGTTGAAGTCATTATCAGTAATAATATGGTGTAGTAAATTCTTAAATGCAAAAACAAAACAATAAAACCATTATCTAATATTAGAATTAAATCAATGTCAGACTGAAGTTTCCCAGAATACCCTTCAAACAGGCGTGATGCTCAGAATAGCTGCAGCATCTCAGAGTTCACACTGTAAAACATCTAAATATGAACATCAAAGACCACAAAGACATCAGAGCTGACCTGGAAAAATTAATGGATCAAAGAAACATCATCAGAACAGTTTGGTCTCATGGACTTTAAATCTCACTGTCTCCATTTTCAATGCTCTGGAGCACAGACAGACATGTACTGTACCTCCACCATCCACCTCACCGTTTAACTCCTGCTTACTAACATCAGGTGGGCAAATCAGTTGGGGTCTCAATGGCAATTTGTCTCTGAGTCACAGTCTGTCAACTAATTAAATGTCTTAATTAGCTTGGGCGCTTCCAAGTCACAGTAAATCATGCATGTCCTAAAATATTTGTGTGATGGAACAATGAGCACAACAGAAACATATTTAGAACACAATGTGCCTGTGAAAGTTATGGTAATTTCAATCTAACACTGCTGTTCACACTGCAGCAAAAAGGTGAACCAAATCACAGTTCTTTTGCCCGTATCAGATTTTTTTTTTCTGACATCTACAGCATCCACATCACTTGTTACTTCTAATTGTGTTTGGCCACATTCATACAGCGATTAGCTCTGTTTCTGACAATGCAAGTTATGATTGCACAAACACACACACACACAAGCTGTCAGCAGTAATTCATTAGTGTCTATAGTGGAGCACCGAGCAGCTTTTGGTGCTCAACTACCTTTCAAGGTCATTTGCTGCAATTTGAATGAAGAAACAAGACGATACGTCACGCCTGACTTCACATCACAGGTGAATATCCTCAGGCTTAGTCAAGGACCCTGCGGTGATCGAGTGACGTGCACGCACGAACCCACTTGAGTGGAACGTCCCAAATGCTCTTTGGACTGAGTTTCTTTCTGTGTCTGAGACAGACAGAGAGTCTTGTGTTGTGTCTGTGGCCTTCTGTTTGTTACACGAAGGATTTATTACACACCACACCCACAAAAGCCCCGGGGACATTCACCATATGGCAATTACTGTGTGGGGAATTAATGTGGCTGCAAAACTGCCTGTTTATTTAGCAAAAAAAGGAATACAACTTAGAATTGTGATTTGTGATTGCTGTCCATTAAAAAAAAAACAGTAGATATTTGCACTGGATTGACATGAGTTAACAATATTGGACTTAAACATGATACATAGTGAGAAGGCTTAATGATTGTTAAGATATAGAAGCCATTATTTAATTGAGGTTTTTCTTTACCAATCTTAAGAATCTCATTTTACAGTATCATAAAATGTACTTATTATATATATATAAATATCATATGGATAGGATATTCTGGATATATATTTTAGATATATAGATCTAATTTAGATTTTTTAATCAAAGCTTTGCTTGTGAAATCATCAGCTACCTCTGTACTTTGTTGCATTTACTCATTTAATTTTCTTTGTTTTGCTTCTTTCCTTTTTGATTTCTTTTCACCGTTTATGCTCTGCTGCTGTGGTTACTTCTATTCACCATCTGTTTGCATGTGTGTACTGTCATGTGATCACCTCATGCATCACTCCTTGTTACCCCTCAGCAGCACCAAACCTAGTGCCAAGCCAATTGTACCAAGAAGTCCTCAATTATTTGCTTTGTCCCTACACTTCACTTCCTACTTTAGCCCCGCCTTCCCCTGGTGTAGATCCAATCCCCTTGCAGCGAACAGGAAGCCAGAGTGCCACCGCTACGTTTCAGAGAGGCAGCTTTGCGTCAGGAGGCGGGACATGTGACTACGCCAACCCTTATCGTACTCTACAATTCTGCCCTTCAACCGAATCTCCGTACAGCAAGTCCGGCACTGCCCTGCCCCCAGAGGCTGCCCTGGGCCGCTCTCCGTCTGTGGACAGCATCCAGAAGGATCCAAGGTGAGGAAATACAAAACTTTTTTTTCATGGATCTAAGACCTGGTTTGTAGATGTTTTGCTCCCTTTACACATTCACAACTTACTGAAGGCCAGATTCACCAGAGACCCGGACAATTGACCTGCAAAGATGGTCAACTGAGCTGTAAATATATAATAATTATCAACTGAATTCACAAAGATGTGTCCGTGTTACAAGTCCATGTTACACTGTGACCCCAAACAGTCTGTAGTAACATAGAATTGGCCGTGACCTCCATGAAAGACTGGGCAGAATCTGGGCTTTAGTATGAAGCACACATCACAGCATACCTTCCACTGTCTTCCCTGGTTTATGTGGGTGTCAGGGTTCGTTCACACTGCCATACCGGTTAGATTTGCCGCCTGCTGGAATTTGTCCCAACATCATCAAAATAAGTCGTATTCTATGCAGCGGGCAGTGGGAATTCTTTTTGGAGCTGTTGTTTGTATGTGTGTGAGTGAGTGAATGAGTGTAAGAGAGTGAGCAAGAGACAGAGAGAGAGAAAGAAAGAGAAAAGTCCTCGAGAGAGAGAGAAAGAAAGAAAGAGAAAAGTCCTCTGCGTGTAGATGTGTTGAAGAAATGAGCGTATGTTACACATACTGTGGGTCACATTCCTGGTGTTTGAAATGTTTTGGACTAATCTGAACAGTTCAATAACAACATTTTTGTTTTAGCTATTTCATAGTTATCTTAAGCTTTTTAAGCAAACTCAAACTACCTGAAACCAAGTTAAAATAAAGCAAAAGGTTCCCAGGTGATTTTCTTAATGAGATGGGTCACTTAAGATAGGAATTGAAAACAGCCTAAACAAATAAGAAAATTTAGGAATATGTTTAAATAAATGTATGTATTAAACAGACATACAATTAAGGGGGAGTTCCTGTCACTTAATCTCTGTATTGTGACTGTGGGTGTTTGTAGCCATTACTTTTTTTCTTCACTCATTGTCTGTGCACTCTCTTCACCCCTGTGTTCACTCTATAACTCTGATGTCATTGATGCGTTGCCTCCAGCATCCAATCGGCTTCAGTGCGACCTGAGACAGACTGAGTTTTTCTGCATGACAAATTGCTCTGCATTACAACATTTACAATCAGTGATGTATGAGTAGCCTGTCGTTGTACACACTGTGTTAAAGAGAGGGTCCCTCTGAACGCAAAATCTTCAAAATATCAAACGACTAGAGTTTAAAAACACTAAAACCTGGATGTTTCATACTCCAGTGTGTTAAGTCACCATCACCACATTTACTCTTACAATATTGCTTTTAACACAAATGCCATTATAATATTCTATGTATATACAGTGCATTTTGACTGAACTGTCTTATGAGTAAAAACTCTGAATTTTGAGGACCCTCTCTTTACCTGTCACAACCAGCATTAACCTCTTCTCAGTGCATGTCTCTCACCCATCTCACCTCCTCCCCCTCTGCCTGATGACCAAATGTTAAGAGATAAAGACAATTTGCCTTCACTAATCCTCACAATTACTGATTATTATTAATATTATTATTATTTTACAAGACAGCCAACATATACGTCTCTTGTTTGTCTCTGCCTGTCCCCCTCGATAGGTACGACCCTGAATTCCTTGTGTGGAATCAAAATGAAGCTGAGCAAAGAATAACTAAGTAATCCAATTATTTATTTTTATATATTTGCATTCTGTCTATCTTCCTTTTGTCCCATTCACTGATTCTCTCCATCTCCTCCGTATCTCAAATGACACAGATGTTAAATGTCAGTGGCAGCATGAAAGCATTTCACATTTGTGTTGTCAACCCTATATCATCAGGAATCTGCTTTATTCTGATTCTGAATCACACCCTTTTTTTTTTTTTAAACTTTGGCACCATGGCAACCTCAATGAACACTAAAGTTTAGGAACTCTTAATAATATGTGAGTAAAAGATGAAAGCAAATAAACATTATTTTTAAAAATTAAACAGAAATAGAACAGACTATTTTTGGTAAATATTTTCAATTCTGTGCACTATCACCCATCATTTCATCCTTTTCTTTATTTCCCTTGTGTTTTTGCTTTTAGATGTTTGTCCTTTTACATGAATCTGCTTTGTGATGTTTGTGTGCCTTGCTTAAAAGACAATCAGATTTGTTCTGATGAGAAATTACACATTTGTCAGAAAGAAATGATATGACTATGTGCGCATGTTCTATCTATCTATCAAGCTAAATAGCAAGCTAGCACGTTGGATAGCTACCAGTCTATCTATCATGTCTGTTTGTTTATTTTTTGTCACTTTCACATGTGCTCTTTAATGGGACATGTATTATGAGCCTTCAATCAGCTGAATAATAGTCTATGTCTTGCTGCAGGACGAGTCGGCAAATTTATCTTTTAAATGATATTTTCCTAGTTTATTCAGCTGGTCCGTCTCGGCTCAGTATATCTGTCTTTTGGAAAATGAGTCACCATCCTGCTGTCTGCCCTTCCTCAACTGCTTCAGCAATGACCACGCACACACAAATAGACAGACAAATACATTCTATCCATTTCTATTTCATTTCAGCACCTGAGCATCATTAATTAACCGGCCTCGGGTGTGTTGTCCAGAACATTCATTTCCTCAAAACTATCTTCTTGTTTTTTGTCCTTGAAACCCTTTACACAGGCTCTGCTTCAAACCCTGTCAGCAAGCTTATTGTTTTCACCAAGTCTGTGTGAAAAATGTCCAGAAAAATGGAATGATATCTAAAAATCTCTTCCACATCACATAAATTACTGTTTGAAGGAAAGTGTTTGTTAAAAAGGTTTAAATCAAAATCTTAAAATTAAAGTCTCACTTTTTTGATGTAAAGTAATCATAATGGACGCTCTTTCTGATCCCCCATCTGGATACATGTTTACGGGAATTTAACCCAAAACCTTTGCAAACTGCCGAGTATCCAACCCACATTTTTAAAGAATGATACTACTACATCTGTCTATCGGGAAGTCTGTTCATAGACATGTGTCTTCCAAGAAGCCTGTGAGATTTAACAGAACAGAGCACTTTTAAAATGGCACTGCAGTATGAAAATTAATACATTCTAAATCTAACATATACATCAAATATTATATGATGTATGTGAGACCTGAGGATTTTTAATTATTTTCAAAGAAGTTCGACGTCATGATTATAATAACTGATCCAGTTATAAATGTCCCGATCAACATGACAGAAAACTAACGTAGACCTCCCCTCTGTCGACTCAGTACTATTCGCTCATCCTGCTGTAATGTTGTCACACATTATTCAGCAATGGAAGCACCGTATCCTCTTGGGTTCTTTGCAACAGAGAAATACTGTGGGGGTGGCGTCACATAGTGAAATGTAGTGCAGCTCCAGGCTGTAGATAGTGAATGAAAAACCCATTACTGCACAGCTTTCTGGAGCACAGCACATGCATGTTATCGTGGATGTAGGTAAAAAAAAAAAAACCAGATCTATTCTGAGTCCCAGTCTGGACAGCAGCATGATGTGTACGGGGAGAGGTTAAGTGTAATTCCACACAATTGTCATTTGTGTGAAAATTCAAAGGTAATTTAGTTCTTGTAAAGAAAAACAGTGTGCAGTAAGCACAGTTTATAGGCAGCCCACTGGGTACAGTAAGAGCATTTTAAACATGGCTGATGGAGCACAGTTAGCATACCTCAGATTATTTAAATCTTTAAAAATAACCCAGACAGAGTAAAAGCCAATTACAAGTGGCAGGTGGGTTTTGAGCAAACGACTCAAACAATTTGTAAAAAAAAAAAAAAAAGCTAAATTAAAAACCAGGGATTTATATTGGTGGGGTATGTTAATCCTCTACCTGCACTTCTGCCTGTATTGTCTTCTCCAATAGGCTTTTTAAATTTGGGTAACCATGGAAATACCAGCAACAAACACATATACGCACGTTCACAATAAGCCCAACCTTTTCTTCCTCTGTAGGGAGTTTGGCTGGAGGGATCCAGAGCTGCCAGAGGTGATCCAGATGTTACAGCATCAGTTTCCATCTGTTCAGTCCAACGCTGCTGCTTACCTCCAGCACCTCTGCTTTGGAGACAACAAGATCAAGTCTGAGGTACTGACAGGTTCACTGGTACAACAGTGTTTAATATACATGGATTCCTCTGAACTTGGTCAAAAAATGTGGGTATTAATTGATTGTCAATTGTAGAAACAATTAACAATCAATTAACAGCCACATGTTTCGCGACATTTGCGCTGCTAATGACCACTTTCAACAAGACAGTACCAAAAATAGCTTTGTGGTCTGTTCAGGAAGTAGGTGACCTGAAAAAGACATGAGACCAAAAATAAAACAGAAATAAATAAATATTTTTGCCCACAATCTAACAGCTAGTAGTCCCTTCCTTTAAGCGAAAAGAAGTGTTATATCAATTTAAAAAAATAAATCTTTAACTATCTTCTATAGAATACACTACAAAGATATTTAATGTTCGAACTAATGCAGCAGAAGTGTATATACACATATGTAGTATACATAAATTTGACAAGTATTTTTTACTTACTCAGGGCTGATGAAAAAATGTTTTGTGGCTTTGTCTTCATTTCTCTTCTTCTTTCTCTGTCCTTAGATCCGGCGGCAGGGTGGCATCCAGCTGCTGGTGGACCTGTTGGACCACAGGATGACAGATGTCCACCGCAGTGCCTGTGGAGCACTGAGGAACCTGGTGTACGGCAAAGTCAATGACGACAACAAGATAACCCTGAAGAACTGTGGAGGCATCCCCGCTCTGGTGAGACTGCTGCGGAAGACCACAGACGTGGAAATTAGAGAGCTGCTCACAGGTAATTAAAAAAAAAAAAACACACACATTTACACTTCTGTTACAAAATCAGCTGCTGCCCCCCCCCCGCCCCCTCCACCCCAGAAAGATGGAGATTTAAGATCATTTAGCTTTTTTTGTACCTCAGTTTTCTTCTCTTGATTTATTGTATATTTTTTATAAACTATTTTGAATTGGAGAAGTCAGAACCCCACACTAAATTATGCATACAAACAAATCATTTTAAAAATATTTTGCATCATTTTTTTTCTTATACACACAGAGTCTCTCAGCATGCACAAATAAAAAAAAATCACAAACAAATCTTTCCCATCTGCATTTTAATAATGGCAGTGAGCTGTTTTCTTCCCTGATTATCTAAGGATGGTTATTTGTTTCTTTTATGACACATGACGTGGGGGAAAAAAAAAACATTTTGACAGAAGACAGAAAAATGACATGGATATGAAAACACTGGCTCTAATGACAAACAGAGAAAGCCTTCATAATTATTTCCTGTGCCTTCATACAAAAGTGCTTTCATAACCTCGTGCTGTCACTCATGATGTTTGTCTTTGGTTTGGCTGCGCTAAATTTAGCATATATTTAGAGAGGAAAAATGTATATTCATTTGTATAGACCGTACGTACGTGCATATAAGAAAACTTCATTAATACACATACTTCATGTTTTAGTAATCAAACTGCCAGCTTTTCTTTTTCCTTCACCATTTTTCACTGAAGTAAAAGAGCGGCAGCACCACCGCTGCTTCATCTCTCATCCTAGATTCTTCTGCACTCTTTTTTGATTCTGTATAAAGATTGAAAGAAGTACCACATTACTATGATCGGCTCTACTGTGGTATTGTTATGTTTCCAGTTGCCCTCTACAGTTGCCCTTTGCAGTGAGTGAGTCATGAATTTAAAAACTTAGCAGCAGTGCACCACTCCACCTCTGGTACAATTTCATTGATTTACTAGTGACCTGCCTGAAGTTTCTCCTTCCCTTTTCATATGTATATTAAATGGAACCTGCTTTATCTTCCCTTGACCCCGACTAGAAGAAACAGTAGCGAATATGCAGATAGCTGTATATATAGAAGGTAAAGAAGATGGAGGAGTACTAACATCCTGGAGATTTATCCATATGCTATATCCTTATTTGGTGTATTTTTTAATATCTTTCTTAACAGTGAGCTGCACTAAAATGATTATTTTTAATGATTTACAGATGCATGATGAAGCTAGAAGTTATAACCTGGGCTCTATGCCAAATCCTAAAACTTATTCTTACTTGTTCTTCAGTAATGTAATGACCATTAATGTAAAGATAGAATAATAGTATTATCAAAAAGCAATGCATCTTAATGTATTTCACATTTTTGTAAATGTCGAATGTTCCTCTTATTAGACTCAGGATTTTTTGTGGGGCCAATGTTCCATCGCCTACATTTATTTTCCTCCAACCAGGAGGGACACATTTTTTTTATTCCCTTTAAAAGAAACAGCAGTTATTCTGCAGAATGCTGACTCACATATGTGCTAATCAAGGTCAGTTTGAATTATTATGTGTCGTGTGTGATATTAAGGTTTTCCAAAAAATACCCAGTACATCCTTTTTGTCCTTTTGAACACAGAGGTGTTGGAGGGAAAACACTTTTGCTGACATGACAGATCAGCTAATTATGGAGCCAGAAGCTAGACATTTAAAAAGTCGCCTCACCACAAACACACACAACTGTGAGTGGCTGAGAGAGTTAGAAATGGCTGGTAGTTCTTAAACACTGCAGATTTTAACACGCACACAAAAACACACAAGAGTAAAAAACACAGCAACAAAGAGAGGACACATTAATACACACACACACACACACAGTCAGACAGAAGGACATCTAAGGATAAGATGTTTTACTGCAGACAGAGGAGTGAGGAGATAAGTGCAGATATGACCGCGGTGGACACTCTTAACACACAAACATATCATTATTGGAGCACATAGATGAAGGTCAACAAGAATTACGATGTGTTAAATAAATCCCCAGGTTATAACTGTGTGTGTGTCTTCATACAGCTATCCTTATGGGAACATGTTCTGGAAAATTAATCTGAAATCTGAAAAACACATTTTCTTTTAAAGTTAGGATTTGAATCAAAGATCAAATTGGACTCAGGTTAAGGATTAAGATTAGACAAGGATTAGACAGGGAATGAATGATGTCTGTTTAAAGTGCTCAGAAATTACAAGAACCTGTGAACACAGCATGTAGTTTATTTTATATTTTATTAAAAATATTTAGATAGACATACCCCTGGGATGATCATTAGAGTGAGAAGCTATGAAATGAGTTATGGGTTAAGGCCTCATACAATAATCAGTGCATGTCTGACACAGTTCTCAACTCGTCTTCCTGAATTATCGTCGACAGGCGTTTTGTGGAACCTGTCGTCGTGTGATGCTGTGAAAATGCCCATCATTCAGGATGCCCTGGCTGTGCTCACCAATGCTGTGATAGTCCCTCACTCAGGCTGGGACAACTCCCCACAGGACTGCAAGCAGCAACTCCACTCCTCACAGGTTCTTCGCAACGCCACGGGCTGTCTCCGGTCAGTGTCTTACCACGTTTGTGTTTGCCGTGCCTGTATTTCATCATATACGGTTAAGAATATGTTATAACCAAAATTAGAAAAACAAAATGTTAAGAAACATCACTTAGGTGTCTCCAATAAGTTTACCTCATACATTTTATAATGATGCAGCTACGTATCATTATAGCATGAGTTCTTCTAAACCACTATGTTGTATGTGTGTACAACAGAAATGTGAGCTCAGCCGGGGAGGAAGCCCGCAGGAGGATGAGGGAGTGTGAGGGGCTGACAGATGCCCTCCTCTTTGTCATCCAGACGGCTCTGGGGAGCAGTAAGATTGACAGCAAGGTAGCTCACCTCACATCTGTGTGTGTGTGTGTGTGAATATGCATGTCCGTAAGTGTGGGTGTGTGTGTTAGGTAGATGGAGGAAGGAGGGTGGAGGGATCCTTAAATTGTATGTGAGTCATGTAACAGAACCTTGAATAGTAAACTGTATTTTTCTCTGCAAATATGTTTTACAATAATTACAGTGTTTGCTTTAATGCCTATAATTTAAACACATTACCACAAGTTTTTTTTGCCTTTGCAGGCAGTATTTGTAGGCTGTAAACATATTCTAATTTGTATACTTTTGTGTGGCCAACTCTGGCAGTCCATAAAATATGCAACATAAACAAGTGGAACCCTATCCAGATCAGGAGCTTTTCTTCTTTCATGAGAAGTAGCTGAAATCCCAGGACACCAAATGCAGACACAAATGTGTTCTAGTTTATATTTACATTTCAATCAATGTCTAGCACATATATAGATAAAACCACACATATATTATGTGTGTGTCTGCATGCACCTACAGCATATCTATGAAACTACACAGTTAGTTTCTTAGTTAGTTAGTTAGATCTTATCTCCACAACTCTTTATCTTTCTTTACTTCCTCCTTAACAATTTTTATCCTCCTTTCCGTCCAACAGACTGTAGAGAACTGTGTGTGCATCCTAAGGAACTTGTCCTACCGTCTGGCTGCAGAGACGTCACAGAGTCAACAGGGGGGGTCAGAGGAGTTGGACGGTCTGTTATGTGATACTGGTGGGAAGGATGCAGAAAGTTCTGGCTGCTGGGGCAAAAAGAAAAAGAAAAAGAAGGGTCACGATCAGGTGAGCATACAGTGGAAAATAAGACATACAGTGTTTTTGATGATCACAGTTTTTTCTTAGGAAACCGTGTTTCCAGTTTTCTAAGTAGTGAAACAGCATCGTCGTTAGAAACATGCATGACTCACAGAATCAAAACCTCACCTTAATCAACAAATACTAAAATGGTGCTGATTGCACCATGTGGTGCAAAGATTTAAATATTCCATATACCTACTTTAGGCTTCATAGCAAAATGGGCCACAGCTAAAACCTTCCCATCAAATCTTCAGTTAGCAGAATAAGTTGTCATTTAGTTGAAGATTTGGCAAAAACCAAACTGCTTCCTCTGAGCTCTTGTCGTGCTAATGAGCAATCAGCACTGCATTCTGGTTGAGTGGATGAAGTCTCTTACAAATTGTAGTGAAGCTGTGAGAATTGAAAAGCCAATGCTTCCTGTGGACCAGACCTGTGAATTACTCACTCTTCCTTCATCCCAACAACGATAGACTAAAATGACATTTTGACCAAAAATTATGTCAAAGAAACTGACTTTCAACTAACATTAGCTATGTGAGCCCACTTTGTTCAGGACCAATGGTATGACAGAACATATCACTAACCTTCAGATCAGAACATAAAGGGACCAATCATAACCATATCTTTGATGGTGACACATAACCTCACCACTGCACCATCCAACCCTCTGCTCCATCTGTCTCCACTCCACTGCAGCTGTGGGTGATTACTATGAGCACCATCAAGTAGCATTTGGGGAGCTAGCTGAAGAGAGCAAAACTCATCTCGGGGAAAAGAGGAGAGAGAAGAGGAGAGGAAAAAATAAATTTAAAGGGATGAGAGGAAAGTAAAAGACAACAGAGCAGAGTAGAGAAGAACAGATGAGATGAGAAAACAGAGAACAGAAGAGAGGTGAGCTGAGAAAAGATGGGTCGGGGGAGGATTTATATTGTATATACTTTTAGTAGTACATCTTATGTCTCTCCTGTTCACAATTCTAACAGCCTTAAATTATTTCTCATCTTTTGCAGTGGGATGGTGTCGGACCATTTCCAGACTTAGCGGAGCCCCCAAAAGGCATCCAGATGTTATGGCATCCCACAATAGTGAAGCCCTACCTCACACTGCTGTCTGAATGTTCCAACCCAGACACCCTGGAGGGAGCAGCTGGGGCCCTGCAGAACTTAGCCGCTGGCAGCTGGAAGGTAAGAGCTGCTGTGCCACTGTGGCTGCATCATTATGATGGGACACTGTGTGTAATAAAATGTATTAGTGATTGCCGCAGGAGTTGAAATAAAAATATTCTGGATAGATTTCTGAATCAGTGTCGTTGAATGGAAACCATGGAAAGATTCGAAGGAAAATAGACTACAACCTGTATTACCCTTTCACCCTTAACCTCTCAGTGGTCAATGTATATTCGGGCTGCCGTGCGCAAAGAGAAGGGTCTTCCCATCCTTGTGGAGCTGTTGAGGATAGACAATGATCGGGTCGTGTGTGCTGTGGCCACAGCTCTGAGAAACATGGCTCTGGACATCAGGAACAAGGAACTCATTGGTGAGTGACTGCAATATAAATATATTATCTGATTAGTCCACAAATTAGTCACTGCACAATCTCTCTCTATATATAATTATACATTAGCAGTATTTTAAGCTTTTTTTCTGTCAGTCTGTACGGTGTGCTGAGTACTGGATTTAACCCTTTATTTCTACTTCTGACACCTCACAGGTAAATATGCGATGAGGGACCTGGTGCACCGTTTGCCAGGAGGCAGCAACAACAACAACAGCAGTGGTGGCAGTGGAGGTGTCAACAACAATAGTCTGGTGGGAAAGACCATGTCAGACGACACCATCACAGCTATCTGCTGTGCGCTTCACGAGGTCATCACAAAGAACATGGAGAACACTAAGGCTCTCAGGGATGCTGGGGGTATTGAGAAGCTCATCAGCGTCGCTCGTAGCAAAGGAGACAAGTGAGTCAAATGTCCAGAGCTGAATGGATGAAAAAGTGAAAAGAGTAGTGCAGTTACAAAAATATGTGACCAGTTACTGTTGACTCTGCATGAGAAAAGTACACAGATCTTTGTTTTTAATATTATTGACCTAAGACCTGATCCTGATCACAACTTTAAAATCTTCATCAAACACGACAGACTGTGGACTCATAGAAAGTGACATCTACAAAAATTGCTTGAAAGAATTATGAAATATTTTGAAGGTGATGATTGGCCCATTGAAGCCAATTATGCACATTTCCATTAGTCAAATTCTGATTGATTCAAAATTAAAGATCAGTAATTCAATTAGTCGTCAGCAGTTATCCTCAGAGAAGAATTATGGAGGCGCATTTTGCGCAATGAGTGTATTCGTCATACAGAGGTGTTGTTTATTAAGCACTGTGAAATCAAAAATAAAAACCAGTCATGCTTCACAATGTCTGTTTTTTTGTCTTAAATTCCCAGACACAGTCCCAAAGTGGTGAAAGCAGCATCTCAAGTCCTGAACAGCATGTGGCAGTATAGAGACCTCCGAAGTCTATACAAAAAGGTAAAGTCCACAAAGACGGAAATCTGGTTCCTTTTAATTTATCTTATTGTGATGAACTGTATCTAACACTGCAGCATCTTCTCTCCTCCTCTTCCTGTGCTCGCCACCTTTCCTCTCAGGACGGTTACTCTCAGTACCACTTTGTTGGCTCCTCCTCCACAATAGAGAGAGACAGACAGCGACCTTATTCTTCCTCCCGCACTCCATCCATTTCACCTGTCCGGACCTCGCCTAATCATCGATCAGGTGAGTCCAACTCAACCCCCTTCTACGCCTTTTCCCTTTTCTTGTTTCGGTTCCTTTGTCCCCCTATATATCTGTCCGTTGGTGCAGTCCGGTCCAAAAACAGTGCCTGTTCAGCTGCTGCCTTCTTTAACCTTCACACTATGGTGCCTACTGACAAATGGCTGTACTGTCAGGGAAAATCCTTGCACCACACCCGCCGAACACTGAACACAGACATGCACATGCATTTTTAAATTAAGTTTTGAATAATGTGGGTCCTGCAAGGTGTCATTATTTTTGCTTGGCATGTACTAAGGTTCTTCTTGAATAAACTTGGGCCTCAATAAGAACATTTATCCACTTTTGAACTTCTTAAAGTACAAAAAACTAAAATAATTATTCTAACAAATGTATAATAAATGCTTCTATAGTACTGATACTATTTGGTCATTCTGCAATTGCTAAAAAAGAATATTAGACTATTCAATGAGTTAAAATGACCTACTACTTACAGACAGCAAGCAAGTATAGCAACTGTATTTATCTGTATTTAGGACTCAGATTCCCCCTGATATAACTAGAGGTAGCCAAAGTCCCACCAGTGCGACACACACCATACTTTGAGAACTACTGTCCTAACCAGTTCAAATGGTGCGCCCTCTCTAAGATAATGTTTAAATAACCAGTTTAATTAGTGTGAATGTATTTATTTACCTTGATATTATGTGTGTGTGTGTCTGTCTATCTGTCCTTCTTTGTATGTGTGTACATTTGTAGCAAGTGCACCCACTTCACCCAGGGACATGCTGGCTATGAAGGACAGGAAAACAGACTATGAATCAACTGGAAATTCCAACTACCTTGGCAACAAGGGCGAGCACACCTCCCGAAAAGACACCATGACAAGTAGGACTTCCTTCTCTGTCAAACCAGACCAGATATACATAGTTAGTATAACCAGGTTAATTAGGTCTTCTGTTTTCTTGTCTGTGCAGATCAGATCTCTGCTGGGTCTTCAACAATACAAAGAGGGACTTACGTGTCACCCACGGATGATCGGAAATACAACCAGGTACATAATATCCTGATTAGCTCAGTATTTTAAATATGAAGGTTAGATGTAAGACAGTGTGACACACAATCTCTTTATGGCCTCCATAAACCACATGCTGTCTGTAGCTCACAAGGAGATGTACAGTATATAAGATATTAGAGGGACACTTTCAAGAACCCATATAGGTGATGTGCTGTTTTATGGTCCTGTAGTAATGATACTATTAATGTTGCAAAGGTCACGACAAGCTGGTAATATAAAAACATATATAGAGTCGCACTTTACACAGGTTTCAGTAGACGTTGTTCTGAAACTGCCATTAGGGTTTTTAATTGCATAATACTGATTAAACAGTTACGAGAAGGTCACTTGGACAACATAAACAGTTACGAGAAGGTCACTTGGACTTGGATGTCATGAACACAATGGCTGTAATTAATAATTTTGTAATTAATAATTTTGTATCAAAATTTGTATATTAATAACATTGTATCCTTAAATCAATACTTGGCAAACCAAACCATACCACATGTAGATAAACATAGCAAAAATAACTAAACATTATCTCGCCAGATGATGGAAAGAAGTTAGAAGTGTCTACTCTTACTTCAAGAGGGTTTAAATTAAAAAATCACAGTCTTACAACAAACTCAGTAACAAATGCTTTGTTTATAGGTCTCTTGTCAAGGCTTGCCTTCAGAGCCTTACCCTCCTTTCCAAAACCCACCTCCAGCTGACGGTGGCAACTATGAGGACCAAGCTTTTTACGAGAATCAGGTCCATGTGGGTGGGCGTCCACCGCAGGGTGACCTAAACATGCAACTTCAGGGTCTCAAGTCCACTGGCAACTATGTTGATTTCTACTCAGCCTCGCGGCCCTACAGTGAGCTCAACTATGAGACAAGCCACTACCCAGCCTCGCCTGACTCCTGGGTGTGAGAATCGTTTGGAGCAGGAGCAAGATGGAGAAGGAGGAAGAGCAGGATCGAGAGGACACAGCCTGTAGTGGACAGTGAATGTTTAGCTTTTTAAAGTAAAGGACAAAAAAAAAACAAGAAGACAGTCCTTCCTCCCCATCCTCACATCTCGTTTCTGAGTTATGTACAGTCGACCGGTCAACAAGACAGAGACAGGAGGGCGGCGTGGGACAAAGGAGGACCAGGACCAAACAGAGGAGCAGCCATGCATGTGCATGCACACCACCAACAAGGAGATGGTCACGTTTTTGTCTGTGTTTTGTTTTTAAACAACAAATACTAGAGAACGTCTGGCAAACAAAGGACCTCATGCACACAACGGCCGGTGGATACAGAGTGTAAGTGAAAGGCAGCTCATGAAGGGGGACGTGAAGGGAAATGTTTTTTACATGGATAAGAAAAGCAATGGTGAGGAGTTGGCTGAGTTGATACTGAAACGTGTGAAAAGTGAGACTTCCAACTTGTAAATATGCCGTACAGCAACATAGTTTTTAGTATTGTGAAGCACAACAAGTGATGCTGTAGGACATGAGGGACAACCATCACACAAACATTTGTTGCTTCAGTGGCTTCAATGTGATGTGTCCTTCCACTGGATAAAAGAACATTTTCGGACTTGGTCATTTGTGACATTTTCACTTTAGTTTTGTTGCATTTTTACTTTTCTACATTTTGGTTTCCATTTTTATAGTAATTATTGTACACTGTACATTTTAAAGTAACGCATCGTGTACTGTACATTAACTTCTTTCTGTGTCATGTCTGGTTGTTTAGCCACTGGATCAACCTCACTTTCTAAACAGCTACACCTATACATACATTTACACTTAGCCTTATATCACAGCTACAGACAGACGTCGAGATTTTGCTTATATAAAGCAGAGGATGTGAAAGTATTTCAGGTGGGACACGTTGCTGGTTTCACTTCGTCTGGGTTGCTTAAACTAGTTTTGCTGCTAAAATATCTTAAGAAAGTCGCGAACATTTTTCATCAAACACTTTCTTTATATCACCTAGCCTAGATTTTGGTGACTTTCTTTTTCTACAGAATGCCAGAAATCCACTTTGCATTTCTTTAGCGTTAACTAAGCTTCATGCGTTTATAATCGTACCAAAAACAAAAGTCAACGCCCTCATTCCACTGAAGGAGGACTGTATGGTGGGGTGTGTTTTAACGGTCAGCTTTCGATTCCTGACAGAATCTCCTCACTCTCATAACAATGGCAGTTTGTAAATGCTTTGTTTTTTCTAAACTCTGTTTTACTAGGATGAAAACTGTCTCACTGCACTAGGAAAGGGAAAAAAAGTTTGAAACGAGTAGGATGACCATGGGGGACTGTGACTGGGCAGGAATTATATTCCTCCAAAACTGTACAAAATTTGTTGACTTCTGTGATGTAAAATACTTTTTGTTTGAGGTACAAGAGAAAAAAAAACTTTCTGAAATAAGAGTGGCAGTTTTAACTTCATGGTAGATGAGCTGTTCATAGAGTTTGGATACTTATATGTAAATATAAATATATACTTTTTATGTGCAGATGTTGATGTCACTTATAGCAGCAGCATTATGGTCAAAGACTTGTAAACAAAAAAAGAAAACAGCGATATGTAGGAAATCTGTCACATTTTCTTTTTTCTTTTGCCGTCACTACACTAAATTGTTGACATTGTGTAGTACTGTTGTTGCTATGTGGAATAGAGTAGTCCAGAGTCAAGGAGTTCACATTACCATGAATGCAGTCCCAACAGAGAACGATCCACAGCAGAGGAAAACATCCTGAAAATTTTAAGAACTCATCCTCAATCAGAGGCAGGGACTCAGGTCATTTTACCTAAACTGACTAAATCAATCACCGCTCACTCAGTGATTTCTTTTGAAAACATTGTTTGCATGGCCTGTTTTCAGATTATAGAGCTTTTATAACATTTATGTAACCTTTAAAAGCAAATCAGAAAAGTAATTAGACCATTGATGCTGTCATCTCAGCACAAACTCATTATTTGCCACATAATCTCCCAAAATCAATCAAACTATACTATATAGGAAACTTCATTAGGTTGATACCTGCTGTAAACTGGAATAAAATTAGTAAAGTGGATTATCTTAAAATACATGTCCACACTGTTTCTTCTCACAACCGGTGATTGATTGCCTCACATCATGCCTCACATGATGTGACATGATTTTTTTCATAATGAAAACTTGATAAAAACTTGTTTAAGAACACAGTATACACTAATATTCTTTTCATTTTCATCCAAAATTCAACAATTCAACATTCTGCTTAATGCAGTTCTGCTCACTGCAGTCTAGATACATGAGGGTTTGAGGTCTAATTATTGTAATTAACACACATTATTTCACTTAACAACAAATGTTCCCTTTATATGAAACACACAATTCTGAAAACTGAATTAGGAAGACTACATCAATTAGCCTTTGTTCAAAGTTAATTTGGGATAATGGCTGCTGGTATTTTTTTCTGCTTTGAGACAAATAAAACTATGAAACACATATGCCATGACAAACCCTGGTTCTCCACAGAACATCCCACAGCTATAGGGTCACAAAGGTCATCCTCTGATGTCAGTGACTTGCGATGCATCTGTTCTCATTAAAAAAAAATCTGGTTGAAAACAGACTTACTGTATTTGTTAGTCAGCATTTGGAACCTAATGTTATGTATGTCCTTGTGATCTTTAGGCAAAGAAGCTTGACTATGACACCTGTATGAAGATGTAACATCGGTATCCTTTTTTGTTGTAGCTAGGATAAATGTGTTTGAAAAGAGAATTGTGAACATTTTTATTGCCTCAGACTACAACTGCTCAAAAAATATATATACAGACCATCAAAAATGTTGTATGTAGGAAGTGGTTTGTTAACCTTAATCTTTTATTTACAGATGTTAGAGGTTGGGAATGATGCTAATGTTCACAGAACTAAATAATTCATCGTCCAAAATTTAAGGGATTCACTTTAAATTATTTTATGTCTTGTTTTGAAGGGAATCCTGTGTATTTGAAAAAGATGTCCTGAGGCTGCCAGTGATACAGACTGGAGGTCCTCCAATTATAATTTCAATACTTTAACCACTAGGCCTACTACTAATCAATACTAAAGTGACAATTAACGACAAGTCATAAATAAAATGTACTGAAGAGTGGTAATGTTATATGTACAATGATTAACACAATTTCTAACACAAATGTTGCACAGCTCTGTTAAAACACTCCAGTCAAATGTATTTCATTTTAAAGTCCTATTTAAAACAGATTTTAATCATAGTGCTGTACAATAAAAAGGTCAAATTAAATAATCTTTAAATACATGCAACTTACTTGTTTTTTAATGTTCATAGTACCGGAGCCAATCCCAGCTGTCAACGGACAAGGGCAGAGTACATCCTGGATGGTAAAATAAGAAACAGAAAAACATTACTGGTCACTTGTGTTATTTTAAATACAAAAACTAGATTGATGTATTCAAAACTACAAGTATACACAGTGCCAAATGTAAATATTCACTTATTGGAGGGGTTAAAGAGTCTGATGAGCCCAGACAGGAATGATTTCCTGGAGTGGATGTGAATGAAACACTGTAAATGTGAATAAACACTTTTACCCTGTTTCATGTCACTGCATGTCATTTCAAAGGGTGCCTGATTATAATAAATAAATTATGTTAAAACATTTCTCTCAGATGCCCCAAAATCTTTGGTAATTTCATAAATTATAAATCTGTTAATAAATGAGCCAGGTTATATTTGATTTGATGTGTGACGTCATGTCATGTCGGACAATTTCCATTCGACCACCAAAATATGGTTTGTGGTTACCGTCAATTGTTTAAACATATAAATATAACATATAAATATGCAGTAGCCAGAAACACAAAACATAGCATTGAAGCTAATGTTCACCTTTAACAAGGTGAATTACCTGTACACTGTGCTGCCAGCCTCCTCTACTGCACCTGTGTCAGGAAACGCGATAAAGCGATTTAGACATTGGTAAATACTGCATTAAACAAGTTCTAAATTCAGTCAGAGCTGCCCCAAATACAAATAAATTAACATAAGGAAAATGTTTATACACGCTTACCCACGCTCGCTTTAGCAAGTTAACAATCGCTAAAAGTGAAGGGTCGAGGAGGAAAGCTCCCCTCTGACCTCAGCAGGCAAAACTAATCAATCAGGAACACAGACTCAACAGGTAGATCGGAGATTATCAGATTCAATTACGCGTGTTAGTGGCACTTTGGCCCAGAGGCAATGTTTCTGCTCTTGGTATAAACCTCAGATTTCACCTCCTGTGCGAGTTCGAATCCAGGTTAGGGCGATTGGCACCTTCCAGTGGACTCACCCCCTGCAGGAAGGCTCACGAGGGGCTGTTGTGATTGTGCCCAAAACTGACTTGAATTTATTAAAGAAAAAAAATCTAACAAATGCATGCTAAAAATAATTTATTAAAGAAAAAAAATCTAACAAAAAATATTTGTAATTTTTTTTGTAATTTTCTAACCATCTTTCAAAATTGTATTTCCAAACCGTTTAGGGGGTGACAGACCCACTGCTGAAGACATTGGCCTTTATTGGGATTTAATTTTTGTTTGACTGGACACAATAATTGTAAATAATTTGGTAGCAGTTGTGCCTTAAGGGCAGAAAAAATGTGCATACATCATAAAACGAAACACCTCAAAGTAGCAAGTAAAAAATCTTATGTAATTATTTTGAGGTCAGCTGTCACGGCTAAGCTGTTTATTTTTGGCGCTGCTTTCAAAGCCCTGACAAAGCCTGTGTGAGCCGTGTCCACAGCTCGGCTTTGAAAGCTTTTCTCTTCTGCAGATACCTGTTGTAGTGAACAGCCTTTGGTCGTCATACCGATCATTGCTGAGGCAATCTGCTGCAGCAGACACACAAATCTTCATCTGGATGTGTGTCAGAGCTGTTTCTCCATTATGTACTGTAAACAGTTCCTCCAAATGGCTTCATCTGCCTGGCTCTTATAGCCAAGTTTTTGTGTTTGAATATACATCTATCAACATCTTCTTTTGCTCAACCCGACAACATCCCCTCACTTTTCATGACTTCTTTTCCAGTTATAAATGTGAGTGCTCTGGATTTCAATAATCACGTGTGATTATGTATTACATCCACACCAGACCATGTCTAAAGAACACAGAAACGGTCTTTTGTCTAATCATCCTGTGGTAATGTGTTAAATGGCTAAAAAGGAATGACCAGATATTAACAGATAGAATAAAAGAAAATGCATATTGAGACTCCATATAGATATAGAGATTATAAATTATAGAGATATAGAGATTATTCAGGAATGATTTATTTAATAACTAGCTATTTAATCAAATTTTAATACAACACAAGTAAATATTCATAAACATAGTTTCTTCTTTACCAGGATGGTTTGACCTCACCTGTCAATCACCACTTTTTGACTTGCGGGCCACAATTATCCTAAAATTTGACAGTAGGGCCAAGTCAGGAGCAGATAGATAGAGCGTTCGCTATAAATTATACAATTCGGAAAAGTTTGTCAGGCAGGATTAAAAGGCGGAACAGCCTGTGGGCCTTCGTTTGCCCAGGCCTGATCTGGGGAACGTCATTTGATTGGATTCACAGCCAAAGTGAAGGTTCTATATATATAACATGAAAATGTTCATAGTTGTATCACAGTTGCCTTCAGTGTCTTTAGTATTTACCCCCTAAGGCAATGCTTCCCAAACATTATCTTGTAACAAAACCTTTTCTGTCCACTGTGAAACAAATAAAGAAAATATAGAAACTTTCTAATTTCTACTGCAACTCCTGCAGTCGTACAACACCCCTAGAGGAAGCTGCCCCACACATTGGGAACCACTACCTTGTGCATTTACCAATATATTAAACATACAGGGGCAGTGGGCTTCATACATCACCGGTCCTCCCAGGGCTGGTAATCCTCCGATTACAATCCTAGTCTCCTAACTAATGTATGGAAAACATGTTGAGCAGGAAAACATAGACAAAAGGCAAATAATTCACCAATGTCAGAGACTGAAGGAGTCAAAGATGAATATTAGTGTTTTATTTATTCACCACTGCAACACTGGAGGCCTTAGAGGACATGTCCTCCTTTGTTGTCCCCGTCATCGTCCCTCACCTCCTCTTTGTCAAAGGCAGTCGTCTCTGGTTTTCCTCCTCCTGTCTTCTCTGTATTTTCTTCATCTTGTAATCCCACTTGGGTACCTGGAGCTGGTTTTGGTTGTGGCTGCGTTTTATTTTTTCCAGTTTGAAACTCTGAGCTGGGGCCTTACACAGTCTTACTTTGGGAACTACGATGCCTGGACGCACACTGCTCCTTCGCAGCATACTGAGTGGCAGCAGACTGGCTCGTCTCATCATCATTGCTGAAGCCATGGCCACATCATTGAGGAGCTGAGGCTGAAGGCTGGCCCTACGATCCCTTTCCTTGGCAATGAGGAGAACCCGCGAGTTCTGGAAAAATCTCTTGTAGTTGTTGAGCCTCTCTGGGCCCAGAGTCTTCAGCTCGGCCAAACGTTGTCTCCTCAGTAGTTCTTGTACTGCGTAACGCCGCTTCCCAATGCACGGCGGGCTGCCGGGACACACTGTTTTACATGTCGTAGCAATGAAAGGACTGCAGATACCAGTGGTAACTTGGACCATGAAGTCGAACACACCATCGTCCACTGGGTTCACTTTGTTGTTTATGTAAAATCTATAGGGGCAACAGGAAAGGAAGTCGATCATTCGCCTCCCACAGGTCTTTGGTGTCTGAGCCTGTTCCACCAGTTCCTGAATGAAAGTACAAGGCAGTGCAGCTTTAAAGAAGCAGCTTTACTCCTGCATAAATCTGACACTTCTTCACAATAATATGTAGTTACCTCCAACATGGCCCACTCTAGAGAAAATGAGTCACAGAACTGCTCAGCACAAGGCCGCATCATCAGCCGATCCATTAGACTGGCTGTCTCATAGCGACCGGTGAAGAGAGCCCACTCCCTGGGAGTTAGACTGCGGCTGTGGTCCCGAGCACGTACATCACCTCCTAAAAATATTCAAGGACAAAAAACTTTTTAAAATCTTTTCTTTTTTTTCTAAAATATTTGTCATTTTTCTGGCACTTTTATTTATATGTTACCCTTCTGGTTCTACACAAAAATAAAATGTTGCACTGTTTTACGCAAATCCTTAAACTGGAAATGAGCAAAACGTACACACAGAATACACAACTTAGGCAGGGTCTGTGTGTTAAGCAGTCACTTAAGCAGTGTCAAAGAAAATAATTTACCAAAACGCAGTACATTCTAATTCTTAATGCATTTTGTTATATCTTTTTGAGTAATGCAGTTGTATGTATGTGTATTTTTCCACTGTATTTAACTAAAAAAGTTTTCATTCTCTGAGTATTTCCTCTCCGGGATTTCCATTTGAAATAAATAGTTGGAACTGTTGAGGTTTTATACATACATATATCAGTGGTGTGAGTGTGATGTTAACATATTTGCGCACCTGCTAACATCAGAGCTCTGACACACTCAGATCTGCCCTGCATGGCAGCCTTCATCAAAGCGGTGAAGCCATGACAGTTTCTTCTCTCAATGTCCAGCCCAGGGAAGTAGCTCAGCAGGTAATTGGAGATGAATAAGTGACCTGAGAAAAACAGGTGAAAGGATAACAAGTTGTACAAGTGAGACTCAGAAAATTTAGGTTCGCCCTGAGCCCTTCAAATTTCAGAAATATTGTTCCCCACATTCACTAAGCCAGTGCTTAGTGGTTTAGTTATTAGAATCACTCGTCAAAATCTGCCTTAGAATTTAACTATCATGTCGAATATTAAAGTTAACGAAGAATATGTCGTCACAGCATGTACTGAGAGGTTTACCTGCTTGTGCAGCAGTGATGAGAGCAGTGTTGCCTTCCTTATCCTGCCAATTCACGTCCAAATATGGACACTGAGATAGGGCAATGACCACGTCCACATAACCATGGTAACACGCCACCATCAGACCAGACTGAAAATCAAAATAAAAAAGCTTGAGCTTAGTCTTCCCTCTGAATTTGATTGGTTTCTTGTAACCATAGTAACAATACTTGTGGATGAGGTATGATGTTTCCCAACTGGTAAAGACCTTTGACTGTATCCTTCAAATGAGCAAATACTAGCTTCCAAACTACTAAATAGTGACTGGAAAGAGCAGAAAATCATTATTTTAAAAGGTTATTTTTCTGCCCTAAACTCAGAGGTCGGTCTTAGTGAACTGCTCATCACCCAGCATGTAAATTAAGTCATTACAAAAATACAGAATGTTCTGTTCTGTTCTAGGCTCATTTCTGATGATATGCTGCTCTTGTAGCTCCCCTCTATTGGCCTGGAACCGGTGCTAAGTATACAATGGGAAATTCTCAAAATAATCTGATGCTAAAGATATTAATCTGGCCCACAATCTTTTTTGTGTCTTCCACCATTAAAGCCTAGACTAGAGAAACAATTATAAATGTAGTTGAGCCAGATTTTTAATCAGTTAAAATCAGTTAGATGGGTCTTTTGTTTTTTTTTTTTTTTTTTTGATCATCAGGAGCTTTGGACCAAAGTTGGATCAAAACATTTGCACATATTGAAAAACATGAAGTGCTTTCTGTACTCAACACTCATTACTAATTAAACACATCAGCGTGGAGCCTGGAGTTTGTGGTAAAAATAAACAAATATTTTTCATTCCATGCAGAGATAAACTCACTGTTTTCATTAATAATTTCACGTTGCTTTCAGAGGGACATGCTTTCAGAGGGCTGTAAACTAAACTGCCAACACTAGACACACAAGTGGACTGCATGTTGCTAGGCTACAGAGACTGTTGCATTCATGGTCTGTGGTAATATAGAAATTTTGACACTTGACATTTGTGATTCTTTCAGTTTCTCTCCACGTTGCTCAAATGACCACAGACTGGTCCACTCTAAGATTGTGTTTGGATCACAGGTGGCCCACGGGCCACACCAGACCTAGACTATGATCACTGTGTTTTAGCAGAGAATAATAAATAACAAAAAAACACCTACTCTTCTGTTCCTGTCTGTTTCCCTCACTTCTTCCTCAGTTACTCCTTGTCTGATCATAATCTTGACGATGATGGCGTTGTTGTTGCTGCAGGCCTTAAACAGGGAGACAGACTCAGGGCTCGGTGAGTGGTACACATCACAGATGACTGAATTATCTGGGGGATAGAAAGAGTCATCTGAGGCCACGCTCCTTGTGTCCGAATGATCTGGCAGTGACTCAAAGTCCAGCTCCTCAAACTCCTGGTAGATGTCGTCCTCATCTTCCCAATAATTGCGAGTGTAATCCACTTCGTACGGCTCTTGATCGTCCGCTTCAGATATTTCACACTCATTACCTTCTTCGTCCACCCTGGTGATGGACATGACAGGTGTATCCATGGACTCTCTGCTGGACCTGAACCCCTTTTCAGTAAATGCAGGTCCCTCAGCGACTCCATTCTCTCGGACTTGTGATTGTTCACCTCCTGCCTCTAACATTAGTACCATTTAAAACCCTTTTGACTGCAACCATAAAAGTACTCCGAAGTTTTTCCTCAAGTTCATGAAGTCAGTGCCTACTGACATGATATTCTGCAGCGACTATCCCTGATAGTGCGAAGGTTTATGTTAGTCATTAGAACATGTGAGCATGTGTGTTTCAACCTCTCAGAAATTAACTTTCCAAAATCAGAGCAAACAAAAATGTTTTGACCAAATGATTGAAGCTTAGCAACTGGTTTCGATCCCGCTCCATCTATTCTCTCTTTTTTTCCCAAAACTAAAACAATATTTCAAAGGAGCTGACAACGAAGCAGGTCGTGACCTGGTTCCACAGACCTGACCCAGAATTCTACAAAGAGGGAATTCCCTAATGGAAACACAGCTGCCGACGTGTTCAGAGTTAAATGAAGGAGATGTAATTTTGCATCATCCATGTGACAATCACTTTAAAAACTTTAAGTTCCAAAAGATTCGTCTTAGACTATTAAACAACAAAGTTTAGTACATGTATATGCAGATGCTTTTGACTTACAGCACATATATGTGCACTTTCTGAACATATGTTAACTAATATTTACCAAACAAACTCTCAGTTGACAGTGACATGACATGTTGTATATAAAACTTTAAAAAACATCACCAGGATCTGATCCTGTGCATAAACTAAGTCTCTTCAACTGATTTACCCATAAAGTCTTCTGATACAAAATAAGTCCAAATCCTTTCTTTCTGAGGATTGTAGATGCTTGTCTTAAACAAACCTATAAGTCTTCAAGATTTTTAAATTTCAGGAAACCAACCAGTCTCTCCAAGTCATCATGACGTTTGAAAGGCCAGAATGTTCAAGATCGTGATGAAACTTAAATATTCCACGATTTCCTCTAGAAAGCAACAAATCAGAGCCATATCTTGAGAAAAGAAAAATCTGTTTCCAGTGGAGGATCTTCTTTGATGATCACCAGCAGCAGAGTGAGAGAATTCTCCACAGCTAACTTCATAATCCCATTATCCCCTTCTCTCTCTTTTGCTGTCTAGGTGTTCTGTTGGATTCCTCAGACCACTTACAAGATAGAGAGGTTTGCTCTTTGACTAATAAAAAAATAATAATACAATGATAAAATTCAACAAAAAGAACATTAGAATAATGAAAATGTTGTAGCCTATATATTACATAAACATTTGTTTTATTTCCTTCAAAAATGAAGACTTTGGAAATTGGGTTAAATGGACACAAACATACAGAGTTCAATTACTTCAATTAACATGTCTAAGATTGGTCTAATTGTGTTGACTGTGACTCTCCTTTGGAAGCTTCATCTAGAATTAAAGTCAGTGGTACAGTTGGTCAGAGGAACGCGCCCTCCTCCGTCTGCATTTATCTTTTGCTGCACTTAACAGTCACAGCTTAAAGTGGATTTCTGTCATGTGACCTCATTTGTAAACACAGAACAGTAGAAGGATTGGGATCAACGTGAACCAGGTTGAGAGTTTGACGTAAGCCTAAGTCACAAACGAGGTCACATCAAAAAGAACTAAATACAGTACTGTACCGGAACCACTGAGGCTGTGAACCAGGGTTTGCAGCACTTAAGTCACAAAATCCATTTTCTCTGAATCAAGAATCCTCTATTGGTTTCGAAGTAAGGCAGAAAATATATGACTTAAAAAACCATGCAAAACAACACCAAACAGGCTATGAATGTGCAAATAGGAATGTTAGACTATAAATATGTGGAGCCGAAAACATAGTATGTGCTGTAAATACTTGAAAATCATAAGTGCATACTGTTACTGCCCTACCTGACAAATATGAGGAGGTACAATGAACCAGGCATTATAAAATAAATAAATTTGAACTTTTCGTGTGAACAGCAGATCCGTTGCAACAGGCTGCCACTTGGCGGCGCCAAGTATGTGGTTTCTCTGGGGCTCGAACCCAGGACCCTATGCGTTTAAGGCAAATTTGCAAGCAGGTGGGATGCAACCTCAAATACTTTGGAACTACAGATACTCTGACTTATCACACAGGAGTAAAGCAGCTTGGCCAATGAAACAGAACTGTCAGTCAACACAATGGTTTATTGGTTCGTGTGAAGCCACAGTTGTTAGACCTCAAAGTATTTCTTCCATATTACAGAACATGCCGCTGCCTTTTTACACATACAAAAATAGAAATTGTTTGTTTCTACAAAATGAAATCCAGGACCAGAGTCGGAAGCTGGGTTATAACCACGTGACAAAAAGGTCACTTTATAACATCATGTGAGCAACACAGCAGCACTACAACAATTACAGTCTACATTATCTCAATAGGAAAACAGTGATTAGGTGCGGAACAGTGTTCATGTGCTAAAAGAAAAGAAAAAATGACGTTGAACTTAGTTGTATCGCTCTGTGCAGCCATCACAGTGAAATGAACTGACACCTGTCGGAGTCAGTGAAAAACAAAACAACACATTTGTGTTGTTGACCATACTTTTCTACACAGTGAGTTCAAGTGCAACATTTAACAAAAAAATCCTTATTTAGGTTTGACAAAGATCTTTTCCAGATTTTTTTTTTCTTTTGTAGTGCAGTGAGATTGCATAGAAAAGTATAAGACGCTGCAAACTTTGCACCACTCTCACTTTTGTGAATGCAAAATGAAGTCTTCTGCAGCCTGAGGAGATGAGAAAAGGCTGCAGACTCACAATGGTAAGATGTGAAAATGCTTGAGTCAAGCTGTGGGTTAAACTTGACTATAAACATAATTAGCTTTGGCGTTAGCCCCAGGCCGACCATTTTCAGATATTCAGATCTTTCTTCCTGTGTTTCTGTCACCAGCCAAAGGCTAAGGAATGTAGAACGCAATAATTCACATTAAAAAAATATTAAAGTAAAATGAAATCACTGACTGCCAGAAATGTGACGCTCATTTAAAATGATATCCTAAGAGGATTACCCTGAAAGACTATCTCTCATGGGAAAAACAAAGCTTAAAAAAAAGAAATGCAATAAAATCACATCTAGTTAAAATATGTAGAAATTAAAATTATCTCAGTTTTTGTCACCGACAACTTTCAACTGGCAGATGTACGATGAGAGCAGAACCACAGCGCCGCCTGTTGTTATCTGTACAATATTCCACCGCAAACGTTCAACAGGAAGCACACTCTGAGGTAAAAGCTACACCTAACTCACCTGGATCTCACATCTGTACAACTCTGGTGAGATATAAAACACAAAACGCGCACACACACGCACACACACACGCACACCTGTGAACCAAACAGACAGGAGGACCAGGTTGTGGTTCTGCTGATACAGCTGATACTGACAACTAAGAGTTGAAACTCTTTTAAAACGAAACCGTTCCATTATTACATGGGGCTGTGGTACTTTCTCAGCACTGGACAGAGTTAGCCTACTGATCCCACGGCAGCATCAGGTCTGTGAGGTGCTGTAGGAGGCCGACGACACACTCCTGCCCGTCTTACATTCATAGTTCACCAGCCTCTGTCCGACCAAGTATCTGAAAGAAAGATGGGAGTTACAGTTGCCTCAACGCATCGATGACGTCGTTGTCCTCAACAATATTATTGTTGTGAACAATCAGTCTACAGATGAGATGTTATTTTTAGGGGCTTAGGTGAAACAAAATCTCTTTCCTGCTGTGTTTCAATGACATGTCTATCAATTGTGTGTAAGAGCAAACGTGGATGGCTGTGGAATTATTGGATTTACACAGGGCATCATTCAGCCCCTAAGTCAAAATGTGTTTAAAAAGGTACTCTGATAGATAGCTGGATAGATAGCACTTTATTAACCTCTCAGGAGTTCCCTTTGGGAAATTTAACTAATGACTGCAATAAATGCGTTAATTTAAACAGCCCTAATGTTGATGTATTATTCTGTTTACCTGGCAGGATGTCTATGCAAATAAATGATAATGCAAAAAACACAGCAGTAATAAAAGTCTGGGGTTGGAATTCTATATTTTTATGCTTTGAGAGCAAGAGATATTTTTGACAAAAGGTCAGTTTCTGGCTGGAAGGCGTTCATCTCTGAATGGAAGTTTAGTAATGTAAAATAAAATAAAATATTTTTTTCCTTGTACTGACTTGTCATTTTTGATGTGCTCGTACAAGCGCTTAAACTGCCGTATCTGGATGGACAGAATGGCCAGTATGATGACTGGAAAGGATAGATGGTTCTCTCCACCAGCGTCTGCATCTCCGGCTGCACCCCTGCAGCAGGAAAGAGTCAAAATAATAAATGTTGCAGTCAGAAAATGTCCGTTATCATTCTATTATTGCTGTGAACTTACAGTAACCACTTTCTGTCTGTGGTACACATTTTAGAAAACAATCTTGATCGGAGTAATGACATTTAATCTCTGACTTCTGGGCTCAAACATTAAAGGGATATATGTGATCCATTTAAATATTTGTGGCCAGTACAGATGGAGTTAAATGGCGGTGATATTACAGCAGCCACAAAGAGATCTCTGTTTCAACCAAACATTTGGAAACAATTCCTGACCCCAGATTCTTCAGTGAGGTTACACTGCTGCCTTCATGAAGACCTACCCAGCAGTGGCGTGACGCCTTTGGAGACGGTGTAGGGGACACACAGGGACAGCAGCAGGACACAGATGACTGGAGCAGCCAGTCTTCTTAAGATGAAGTACAAGTCAATATTTCGGATTCCATTAGCATAGACCTGGAGCAGTCAGATGACAGACACTGACAGGTTCATTACACTTGAAAACACAGTTACACCACAGTAAACTGCAAAATACCACAGCATACGATAGACCAGGGCATAAGCTTTGGTACAAAAATAAGATAAATGTTTACAACGGCGGCCTGTGTTTTTTTTAGCTTGAACTTCTTTTTCAATTACAACTCTGAGGCATATGGCCTGAGGGTTAAAGGAGCTGGACAAAGAATTTACCTTATAAATAATATATATATATTTATAGAGTATATATTTATTTTAATATTATAATACTTTATTTTTAAATATTACCATTTGTCATGCATTTTGCTCGGTCAAGGACTACGACAAATACGCAAACGTGGTAATGGTAGAAACAGCACAGAAACTAATGCACAACCTTTTCCTGTTAGTACAGAAGTGCAGTATTTAAAGCCACAGTGTAGGTGTGAAGTTGGACAGACATAAAACTGACCTGTTCAATGACCGTCTTCAGCCACCACTGAGGGCCCATCAGTGTAATGGCTGCAATAATTTTAGCATGGAGCACACCCAGCGCCCAGTCCTGCAGCACAGCAGTCATCCAATTACCAAACATAGAAACAAGTGAGTCAGAGAGGGAGTGTGAGAATAACGACTCACACCTACCTGCCAGGGATAGAAGAGTGGTGTTTGGTCCAGTGGGACTCTGAGAGGTGCCACAACAATCAGCTCAAACAGCAGACCCAACAGAAGAGGAACCACTCCAGCTAACAGCACGGCCACCACGACCGTCTTCAGAATCTAGATTTAAACAAGACAACACATCAGTCCTCATATTAAATTAGAGCATGGTTCTATGATTAGTTTTTCTTTTAGACAAAGACAACAGCACCAACCATGAGTGTCCACTCCTGGACTTTGAGCATGATGACGCTCGGTCCCTCTGGCATCCAGGACAGCACCACAGTGGCAGCCCGTATGGACAACCAGCAGACATACAGACCACTGGCGGCTGTGTACAGCTCATGGACCATGGCGCTGCCCATCCAGAAAGACATCAACAAGCGGCCCATACACACTAGCAGAAGACAAGAAAGAGGAGGAAGATGAGAAACGGTGAAGATAAGAATGAGAACAGATGGACAGATATGCAGAGATGAAAAGACTGGCTCTTTGTGGCCACTACATACCTGGTAGTGTAAGGCAGATCAGACTGGCTAGTAACAGCGTCACACACATGAAGACGACCAAAAGAACGATCTGAACAAACAAACAAAAGGTTAACAAAAAGTACGCTACAGGAGAGGCAACACGATGATGAGGAAAAAGAAATTCACCTTAAGAGGAAAATGGATAGGTCGATGGTACGGCTGAAATCCCACTGGACCACCCTGCTGCAATATGGCCTGGTGGGCAGCATGTAGCCCCTCCCCAAGACCACGCATGCCGTTATTGTTGTTATTATGGCGAGCAGGGCGATTGTTGTTAATTGGTTCGTTGTCTTCATCGTCGTGTTCTCCAAGCAAATATGAGTGTAGGTCACTGTGAGCAGAGACTTCAGGAGTTACTTTGTCTATAAGTCACTGACAAAACAAATTCACTGTTGTAATCACATGAGAACTGAGTTCTCTGACCTGCGCAGTAAGAAAATAGTCTGTACCAGATAGTACTTACAACATGTATCCAGCTGTGAATGTCCAGGCGTGGACGAGGCGTTTGAGCCAGCGTCGGGTGTGACCCTGCTCCAGCAGCGCTGGCAGAACAACTTGAAGCAACAACAGCTCTAATGACAGCTCACTAACTGGTGCATCACTGAATTTACAGAAGATACAGGACACAGAGTTATACATACTTAAGCTGCACGAGTAAAATAGCAGCCATGTTAAACATTTGACCAAAAGAGTTCATGACCTCAGTATCAACACATAAGGATTAAATGTCCATGTGGTTTTTATACTGTACCTGTAAAGCATGACGTTGTAGGGAAGGAAAGTCGGGAGGAGAAGTTTAATGATCCTAATAGGAAGCCAAAGCATCAGTAAAACTATTGAACCAAAAACCACCTGCAAACAACATAAACACAAATACATATTGAGCATACCAGACCTGTGACAATTTATTATCTGTAAAAAAAAATTTAAATTTTAGCTTAGGAATGCAAAAATTCTAATTAATTAATTTCTGTTTGTATCTTTAACTTCAGTCTAAAAGTACGTTTTTGATCATTTTAATTTCTTCTAAACTGCCTTTAATTAGACTGACCACAGAGAGGATAAATCTTCTAAGGTGTCTATAGATGGGCAGGTGGATCATCTCTTGCACTGGATTAAAGTCTGGGTCGTTCAAGTTCCTTAGGAACCACAATACACCAGGCCGCAAAACCTGTCCAAAAACACATTCACAGGACGGTATATAAAAAAAACTCCATGGAATAAGGTTTTTGATTTTCACCAGTTAAAAAAACTCATGTTACCTCTCTGAGAAGAAGAATGAAGGAGGCAAAGTAAAAGACATAGACCATTCCGACGAGCCAATGGAGGAACATGGTCGTACCAGGAGCCGAGTCAAAACTCTGCTCCCTGTCCTTTAAGGTTGCATCAAACATTTCCTAGAATAAGAATAATAAACATTAAAGTAATCAACGAGAAAATACTGCCCGCATAAGTGTTTGTAAAATACAACAAGGGAAAGAATTTAGTCTGGCATTATGATGAAGTGTAGATGCCTCACCAGAGAACAAATGTCCAGCCACCAACCACAAATCAAGGGAAACAAGCCTATCTCCATAACTACCAGCAGGGACACCTACAGGACAGAACAAATCCTGTGTTCAACATCAGTTCTTTATTATTGTTTTGTAATTACTGCCTTAAATGAATGTCTAGAGTTTTTTGCTTTACCTTAACAACAATGTAACAGACTCCCAAGAGTTGTTTGGAACGCTGGAACTTTACTAATGAAGCAAATACCTGCAGGAGAATCAGTTAAGGAACACAATACATATGTAGAAGGCAGACATTTGAGATACTCAAGCGTACAAAAGGGATACATGGCAGACCATGAGGGCTGCAGCCAACAGGATGTAACCCACGATGGTGGTGATGAGGCCGTCAAAGTGCGATGCTGTGATCTACAATAAAACATAGTTTGAAGTAAATTCCAATAATTCAGAAACGAGTACAAACGTATTGTGTTGATATGACATCATGCATCACTGTGCACTTACATAGTCTTCAAAGCCCAATCCAACAACTGAGAAATGACCAATGTGATATGGACAAAAGGCTGCAGGACAAACATGGAGATTACAAAAGTGATGATGTCAACAGGGTTAGCTCATACTGTTCTAGCCTAGCCTTGCTGGGAAATTAACTAATAAAAACTGCTTCTCTGTTGGCTCTGTCAGCCACTCGTGTTCCATTATATAGAACAGTTCATCATTAACCAAAAGTACATTAAATATATGATGCTGGAAACTCACTGCAGACCTTAAATCAAATCAGCTTCTGATTGGTCACTCCTTGATGACACATGTACAAATGATGACTGCTGAACACCGTAGTTGCACTAATTAAAACAAAACATAATGGTTGACAGTGTGTCACCTCTACACTGACATCAGCTTACCAAAAACCAGGATGAAGAGTGTGTTAAGAGAGACCACCCAGAAGACATGCTCCTGCAAAAAAAAAAAAAACACACACACACACAGAAAACAATAAGACAGGTTCACTGTTGTTGTATATGTGAATGTAACACTTTGGGATTAGAACTCCAGGACATCCTTTAAGGCAGACGTTGTGTGAACACCTACCAAAAAAACGAGGGAGCCGTCCAGCCCAAGCATCTATAACATAAGTAATTCAGTGTAAAAAATACTGAAAAAACAAAAAACAAAACAAAGAAAAAGCCGAAAAACACATCATATATAAAAGCTACAATCAATCTTGGACTAGACCTAATTTTAGCATCTACGCAATTCTGTTTGGAGCAAGACAAACTGTTTAGAAAAAATATAATTCTCACCTTTTCCCAGGTCAACTCGTCTGCTGCACGGTCCCATTCCAAAGCGTTCCAGTTCAGATCCTCTGCCAAATATCAGCGTCAATTACACCGAAAGCAAAAAACGTCTTCACGTGAAGCTGCATTAAACTTTACTGAGTCACCTTTTAAAAAAAAACAAAAAACCCCAACATATTTCACACTAACCAAGTCCTCCAAGAATGGCATCAACAGGGTCCTCTTCCCTGCCGTCGTCATCCTCTTCCTCTTCATCTTGGTCGTCTTCTTCTTCATCATCAAGTACAGCCTCGTCTTCCAGATGGTCAGGTCCGTGTGCATTGGCAGGAACCAGACCATGAATGACAGGGTCCTCGCCATGCTGGCCTCCTGGGAAGCGGCCAGCGGCCTGAGCATTGACGGCACCATTCCCACCTGGTGCCTGTGTAACCACAAAATCATTTTGTATCGGAGAGGATTTTGAGTCATTTTATAAATATTAAAAACAGTGAAAATATCAGGGTATAACACTGCTTTTTCATACTGAAGAAACATTTAGTTTGTGGCTGGAATAGACACACTGGACAAGACCCAGTCTGTTCTGACCTCAACTTTATGTCAGTGAGCATCATGTTTGCAGCATGTTTGATGTTCTTTCAGATGGATCTCTCAGTGTGTGGCCAAGGGCTAAATTACTTTTTATTATAAACTTAGCTCACCTCATTGGCAGCTGCAGGGCCATTTGGCTGGTTGGGAACCAAAGGAGGCTGATTCTGCTCCAACCATTGAGGGGCGCCACCGTGTACGATCTGCTCCCTGAGCCACACCAGGCTGATGAAGGCGCACAGCGTGCATGTGACCACAAAACAGCCATGAAGACAGTCGGCCAGCAGGTTCTGTCTGCAGACGGAACAACAGAGGTTACACCTTTGATACAGGTACTCACACAATGTGTACGGGCACCATGAAGGACTACTCTGATTAGACAGGGAAGACCGTTTATTGTTCTAGTGGAGGCAGAACTCTATGATATATTGCATAATTGCTGGGTTACAAATAAGGTCAGCGTATTTTATGGGTTTTCCCTCAGTGCTCGGTCTTTCATTGTTTTCTACCCAAGGACCCCTGACGCAAATTAGCTTATACTTAACTCTGGCACAGCTAAGAGCCTGTCCACTGACCCTGTTACTCTGCAATTAAATAAAGTAATCTCTAGGATGATAAGCCGTGAAGAACACAACGCTCCCCAGAGTTAAGTGTGAGACAGGAAAGTTATTTAAACTTACGTTGAAAGCATGTCTAACGGCAGGGTGAGGAGTGTGCTGACAGAACCCGTGAACAGACACTTGTAGATGCGACCTGTCGGGAAATAAAAGAAGGTGTAATTAACACAACAGACACACACACACACACTCAGCTTTATTTTATTAATTTTTATTCACTTACAATATAGATTAATGCATCACACATGTCACTGGGCTTTAAGAAACACACTAACCTATATAGTTATTGTAATAATATAATTTAATAGAATATTAGATTGTGTCCAGTGGCAGCGTTATTATTTTTTATATGTTAATGACAGTCATTTTTCCCCTGACTTTTAATTTTTTAATTAACTGTGCATAGCTGCTCAAACCAATGTTTCCTATTCAAAGCAAAATAACCTTTTTGTCAGAAAGCAACATAGCAAGTAAGCTCAAAGTTTAATCCAGACATTTGTCACATTGAACTACTGAATGTCAGGGGATTTTTCCAAGAATGCATCAGCATGCCTTAACTTTTCAAAGGCTGTGCAAAAATTAAAGCTTAGTTCCACTTGAGCAGAACCACTAATTCACAGTGGCTTTAGGTTAAGCTGCTGCTGCTGTGGGTCAGGCTCAATTGTCACATTTAGACCAGGCTTCAAATACTTACGTCACCTTTTCTTTTTCAAATATTAAGTATGAGATAAATCTTTTTGTTGTATATTCACTTTTCTTTCCCCAGCCTTTGTTTTTATAATTACTCAAAACAACAGAGTTAGGCAGACTTACATGCTGTGAGAGGCACCACACCTAACCAGGCGAAGGCCACCAGTGTGTAGTGGAACCAGTATCTGATGGCTGTTCCAATACTGGTGACCAGCCCTGAAAAGATGTCTTGGAAAGGCAAGCGTGTTGGCATGTCTGGAGAGTAAACTAAAACCGGGCAAAAAAAGAAAAAAAAGAAAGATAACTAACTAGAAATGTGTCACAGTGAAATGTACTAGCAAATATGTGTTGTTTTTTTTATGTTTTATTTGCTTGAATGAGACAAGATCGTGCCTGCCAAAGCACTGACTTAAAAATGAAAGCAGCAAATTGTGTGGTAAGAAAGAAAATCACTTACTGGGAGTGAAAGCAAACCTGTGTTTGCATAGTTCACAGTATTCTTTCCTGCTGTGTTTGAGCCACTGCAGTAGACTGGAAACATGGAAACAAGCACAAAAAGACAACAAAATCGCTTAATGTTTCTATGGTGGTAAATGGCAATTAACAAAACATACCATTATTAATAAATTTCATTTTGTTTAATCAGTTACACTACATAAGATTCATTGATCAAAGCAAACAATACACAGACATCACCTTCCATTCTCTATTTTCTTACTGGTTGTTAAAGAGTAAGACAAGAAATGGCGACTTCGTACCATTCCTGATGGATGAACTTAATGCTGCCAGTGCAGACACATGGGTGGTAGAGTGGTTTGTCCAGCGATCCTTCTGACCGACAGACGCGGCAGATATCTGCTGTACAGACAAAAAAAAATAAACAAAACAATAATCAAATACTTTTGCTTCCTAATTATACAGTGGGAAAGAAGATTGTGAAAACACAACTTTCCACACCAAATTTTCATCATGCACGAGAATGGCTGACATTTTAAATTCCTATACAAACTGAAGGGGTTGTTGAAATAGCAAGCATTGAGACACAGACGTGTACAAAACTGTAAATAATTTAAGAACTGAACTAGGCCCCAGTTTCTGCCGTTTTTTATTTAATGTTCGCATGGCGACATTTTAAATTCAGAAATACTGTATGACTATATCCGCTGGTTTTACACAGTGTGTCACAGTCCTAATGGAATCGGCTGATACATTGACTGCAAGACAGACAGCAGGATGCTGACACCTCTATGTTAGGCTGTGACACAATAATAAACTGTGAATAGATGGAAGTGCTTTGCTTTCTAAAGTACTTGATATGCACATGATTATATCAGTTTTTTACATGATTAAAAATGATAAAGTGTCAGGGGCTAAGGGAATGTGATTGCACATATTTGACTGTTAAATCATCAAATAGAAGTGAAGCCAATTCACATTAATAACACCAATGACACTGACGTCCCATCAGAGGTAATTGTTGACCGGATAAAGACCTGAAACTTGGGATTGGAAATGACAGAATCAAGCATTATGGATCAGTGAAAAAAAATATATATCTAAAATTGTTACCTTAAATAAACCTAAGAAACCCCAGGTGTCTGACATTATACAGCTGACTTTAGACAGTCTTGACAACAAGACACTTTAGTGAGAAGGACAGACCACAAACTTACACCAGGGCAAACTGTAAAACTTGGATTAACTGTCAGTGAAAGCTCAAAATAAAGTGACTATAATTAGCCACGATGCAGGGAGGTCATACTGTTTGCTAAAACATAGCTGTTGGTTGTAAATTAATCTTATAAGGAAATTCAACACCACACCAGGACACCCTCTTTTTAGTCGGAGCCTGTTGTTGTTGGTGGGTTAGACAGACAGATGAACAATCAGAGAGACATACAGATTTCCTGCTACATGTTAAATACTTTAGATTTAGCTAATTATTCAAAACACAGAGGACACTAGTTATGCACTAATGATAACATAATAACAATAACACAAACAGCACACACATCAGAATAGACTTAAATGTTTCACAATATACGTTGAAAAGGAATATATTTATAATTGCATATTTAGGTTCATGGTGTTGTTATATATGACTCTTCTGTTATAGAAATGCTGATCACTAACTAATGACTGGTGTCAACTCAGCTGATTATGGTTGACAACAGCTGAAAATATAACGGTGGCATTCCATTTATTACACGCCTGTTTATAGTTAAAAAATAACATGTAACATGCCCACGTGTCTAAAACTAAGTAAACTAGATTTCAATGTAACGAACCCCCATAACTAACACGCAACAACGTAACACCGCGTTGTTACACATAGGTATTTAATTTACAGCAGCTAACGGACGCGAGCTACTGCTAGTTAGCAGGATAGCTAAAGCTAGTTAGCGAACAGTGTTTTATTTTGCTTAACTACTATCCGCTGTAAATGCTGATCTAAGAATTCATTGTGATAAACAGTTCCTGTGGAATTTGTTGGGAGTGTGACATAACCATTCTGTATGCTTTCTTCAGCCACTTATCTAAATAATAGGATGAACGGATTGAAACCTAAACTACCTTCATCGGCGATGTCCATCTTGTCTGAGGGCTGCTAATAGCACCTTCACAACAAAGCACTCAAAAAAGTGAAAACTTAAGACAGTCACATGTAAACATTACAAAAATAAAAATTAATAAAGTATCCCTTCTCCTTTCATTCGATCATTGATCAAAAAAGTAACGGTCATTATTTTTTTACTACATAATCGTCTTGCAACACTAACGAGAGGACAGGACTTTGTGCCACCCTGTTTGTTGTTCACCGTTTAAGCCACATGATGGAGCCAGAGAACAGCAAATCAGCTGATGACAGTCGTGTCACAAAATACGAGGATATTTGGATTTTTTTTTTTTTACATTAAATTAATGGTGTTTAAGTTTCTGAATGACCTCAAAACACCTCTGTGGAGTAACAAAAAAAAAATCTAATAATACATTGCACATCAAGCTGTAAATGTGTAATTCGAGAAGAGAATGAACTAAGCAAACCTTGAGACAACATTTCTGTGACATTTTAAAGAGCCATTTGAATTGTAAAAATCTATTTAAAAAATCACTATATTATCCTGTTAGACCTGAAAAAAATAAACATTTTCATATTTGACTGAAGATACAAATAAGCACATGCCACCAAAGAACAATTTAGCAGAAGGAAACATCTTTTATTATCACCTTTTAGAATATATTTACTGTGGTGAGTATTGGTATAGACATTCATTTTGTTAAAACACAAGGCAACTGATATTTTACTTTGTAAAACCTCAGGCCAGAAGTGAGGTCATTCTCTAGAGCCAGTCTGTGGTAAAAGGGACCTATTTTTGCAATGGAGCTGCCACTTGCAATTGAATGCCTCTTATATGCACATGTGTATGGCATAAAAGCATAAAAATTCCCAGACTGTAATGTTACATTCTGGGCCTCCAAAGCAGGTCAAAACAACCAACAGTACCATTTCACAGCAGTATTTAACTGCTCACACTAAATCCTGAATCATGTGTCATTCATATCATGTCCTTGTGTGGTCTCCTTTGTCTTCTCCTGCTGCAAATGTGGACTAAATGTCTTGGCATCATACACCCACACAGTATCAATGCCTTCTCCAGTGATACGTTCAGGGACCCATGTAGGAAACGGGAAGCGACAGGCCACCACCTTTGCCGAGCTTGGCAACTCTTTTGCCAGCTTCACCTCGAGCTGGTTCATCTATAGATAAAGACAGTCACAGTTAGTCAGCTGTGTTTGTGAGATTTAAATTATTTGAAGTGTATAGTAAATGAATATACACATATAAATAAATGTTATTATTCAAAAGGTTAATAATACAGTGGAGCTATTCAGTTCAAAGAGCTTCAACTTCATTTTTATATATTGGTGAGTGACCACTGTTGGTGCATAGGAGAACTCACCATTTGAGGAACTCCAAAAATGACAACGTTGGAATACTGAGCAAAGCTCACCTGAAATGAGAGGGGAAGGGGAGAAATTATACAATGAAAAGAAATTAAAATAGAACATCTCTTGTGTATAAACAAATCTACAAACGTGGGATTAAAAGGTGAGTTTTATGTGGTTTAATGTGACTCAGAGAAAACGTAAATAGCACTGCACATGCCACATGTACTGAGACACAGAAGCCGTGTCATACGTTTATATAAAGACATGTTTGCAGCTCTTACGTTCTGTTAGATACCCTATTCAGAAATATGTTCAAAATGACATGAAAAATAGGTCTAGAACGTGTATGTGGTTACTAACTTTCCAGAGGTCCGAGATATGAAAGGAGGTGGAGCAGTGGACCCCCTCTCTCCAGGATTTGTAGCGAGAATACCACACGAGCCAGGGATTTAGCTCAAAGCCAGAGGCCTGAAAACCACACTTGGCTGCTGCTATCACCTGGAGGAGTCAGGTCAATGTCAAAATACATTTTTTTCTTTTATTATAAAATCTTTGGCTTGATATTGTAGTTACTGACAGTTTCTGCAGATCGTTCTGTCCTAACTATTTTATGAACAGCATCACAGAGTTTTACTGAAGTACAGTACACTGAGTACAACCACCCACACTTACAATCCTCCCATCTCCACTGCCTATGTCCACCAGAGTCCCTGATCTGGCACGCAGCGCCGTCAGCACGTTCTCCACCTGTGCTGTGGTCGCGGGAACAAACGGGAGGCAGATTTTCCTTAAGGCAGGTGCCACGAACGGAGCGGCCACTACGTACAGGGCAGCGATGGTCCCACCTACTAAGCCTGTGGCGATGAGACCGACACTATTCCTGCTCCGGCTTCCTCCTGAATTATTCCGTACCTGCTGGGATGAGTCGACCAAGATCTCCTGTTGGGACATAACTCTGTTTTTATGTATGTATATAGTAAAAGAGTTACATGTTAAGTCAGCAACTTGCACCAGCTTATAATAAACCTTAAAGGAAGGACACTCTAAACATAAACTAGTGAAGACACCCCCTGTGCAACACGATTAGACGCCCGGCTGGATAACGAGGCACGATTAAAGGTGGTTCCGCTCTTACTCCTGTCTCACGGCAATTAATGTAATGTAGTAATTATTCATTAAAAATAATATGTTGATTCAGAGAAAAATGTGTGACAGTAGAGTTTTTACATTAATGTACCCCAAGTTAAATATTTTTATACAACTGAAAATATAACTGTTGTAATGTGGGTTTTAACCCACATTACAGAATATATATATGGAAGCACAACACAAATAGAAATGGAAAAAATGAATACCAAAACAAATTAAAACATTTATTCAACTGAATATATAGATACAGAACTGTACACATCAGAAAACAAATCAAGAAATGGCTAAACGTTATTTAAATGATGTTGTTAAGCTCTTTTTAGAGCTTAACAATATTGGGTGGATTTATCCAATTAAATCCACCTACATCAAGTCATTAGATAGTGAACTGTGGAATGTGTAATCTGGCCCTTCCATTTCATGGTGGATCTGATGGTGCTGCATGAAGTACTGGCTCTTTGTTGGGGCGTCATCCATTAAATTCTCTTCTTCATCTTCATCCTCCTCTGCTCGATACTTCTCAGCACCTTCTTGAGAATAGCTGTGCTTCATTATAACGATATTCCTTCCTGGGTTGGCATGATGGGGAATGTGTGGTGATTGTTGCCCCATTGTTGGCCCAGGAGTTGCACCGTCATTAACAGTGGCATCCCTCATGCTCAGATTGCTTCGGCTGCCGTGGACGCTCTCCTGCTGAGACCCACAGTGATGATCACGAATGCATTTGCTCGAGGAGCGACGCAGTTTTTGGAACTTCTCGAAGTCCTTTGCCATATTGCCAGATGGGGTTCCACGTAGAGTACAGAGCTCATAGTGGGGAGGCTCAAATTCAGGGTGGAGGAGTGCAGGATCAAAGTCATCTCTGGACGGAAAATAGCAACAAATTCGCAGTCAACGTTTTTTTAAAACATACAGGTATCAGTGTTTTAATAAATACAAGTTGAACTTTCAGCACCTGAAGTTAGTTTAAAATTAGTTACCGGTATTTTTTAATTGTTAGCTGTTTCTGATCGGAGGAATATTTAAAGAGAATTATCAGACTCTAGCTTTTGTTTATTGTTAGCATGGGTTAATAATTGGTTAGTAACAGAACATCTCACCTGCGGAGAACATGTTTCTTCCGAGGCTGCTTGATCTGGATGATGACAGAGATGATGAGTAAAATGAGCACCAAGCCACAGGTAACTCCAATGATGGTGAGGTTAGTGTTATCCAGTGTGTGCAGGATACTAGCTTTTCTCTTCTCTAATTAAGGAAACACAGAAAAGGAAAAACAGTTACTTGTTTTTCAGCCAAAGACTTTTGTTATAAAAGCTCAATCTTTCTCAAAAGCACCTTTGCAGTGATTTTCATCCCAGGGGTAAACACAGTTCTGGATGCCATTGCAGACCAGTGTTTGGTTGATACACATGTTGCTGTGGCAAAAGAAAGTGTCGTCGTCACAGGGTGCTGTAAAATATAAGGAACATAGGCACTTATTTGACAAACTCATCCAGAAACAAGAACATTATATAATTCCTGGATATGTATTTTGCTGCATGGTTCCCAGTGTTAACAAGAAATATAAAGTCCACTGGCTTTAGCCTAATTCAAACATGAAAGATCTTATGTATGATGTGAAGCGTTAAAGCTAAAAAAGAAGAAATGCCAGGATGTCACTCACGTTCGTGGAAGGTGGTGAAGAGAATCTTGAATTTGCTCTTCCTGCTTCCCTCATCTGCCCAGAGTCTCACCACCCCCACGGATGACACCAGCATGACGTCATTGGCCACAGTGGAGCAGAATTTATTTTTCAGGTGTTCAACCGAGCTGCTGCCGTCATAGATGGCCACAAAGTTGCGCTTGCACTCATTGGAGTTGTGCATCTCATACTCCAAAAAACGCATGTAGATCTGCAGTCATTAAAACGTTTCTTTGTTAAGGTTACATACTGTACTTGACCTATACTTTTGAGACGCAGGAGTATAAATTAATCTTTAACAACAATTATATCTGTCGGGGTTTAGCCACAGTAGACGGCAGAAAGGACCCAAAAGCAGTACTAGGGAGTTTATTTACAAGGTGCAAAATGACCATATTTACTGGGTTGCAAGAACAGCACACTACTAACATGGTCACTGAACACCACCCAAAACACATAGTATGAGTCTTATTACAGGCAGAACTTTACCATAGCTTTTGGTGGAGCCCTGACGTACCATCTGCAGTCCACAGCCTCAGTCTGCTGCACCTGAAAGTCCCTGGCTATCTGTAAAGACTCAATGATGCCTTCAGGACCGCTCAACTCAAAGTCACAAGCTGAGTGCAAGAAACATTTTCGTTTTAAAACTGAATGTTAAGATTTTGAGAAATCACATATATTTGAGGTAAGAAAAAAAGGTTTCATACTAACATGGAAGAGCCGACAGTGCACCAAGATCTTTGAAGTCGGGATCTAAACACATGAAAAAAGGGCAAAGAAGAAGCAGATGACACTGTCAGTCCTGTGGGGGAAATTCACTTGTTATAGGTGGGAAACCAGAAAAACCCTGTACCATAGGACGCAAAGAGAAATAACACATAGAGTAAGTGCATTTGTGTGTGTTTGTCCCCATATGCCCTTCAAAACACAAAGACAAGACAAATAAACACACACACACATACACACAAGGGATACACTTTTCCTTGCAACAAGAAAAGATATTATGCTCTAAACCCTTGTGCAGCTGATTAATTTATTTGCTAGGTGGATTATAAATCCTGACAAAGCAGCTTAAGTTTAGGACAGATTAGTTCCCATCAGGGATGACAGCCTAGAAATCTTTTCTTTTTCAAAGCTGAAAGAATTAAATTCATCTTACATCCAGAGTAAATGGACCGGGGTGGACCAGGGAGGCAGCTACAGAAGAATTTATATGCGTATACCGTTGAGACATTTTGAGTTTACATATTTTAAAAAAATATATCCAATATCATAATTTAAAGCTTTGTGTGGCTTCTTTGCGAAATTAGCTTGCATAAGATTTTTCTTTGTAAATTTTTTTCCATTTTTCCTATTTTTGGCAGCTGCTCATCTTTCCTCCTTAATGAAAGACACACATTTTGTTGTTTTGAATTTATTTTGTTTTGGCGCAAACCCGTAAAAATCTCAGGACTCACCTTGTGTGAAGTTATAATGTGCAGAGAAACCAATGGCCTCCAGTTCACCATCAGCCACAAACTTGATGTACAGATACCGGCCACTGGAGCGGACATATGCAGGACTTTCCTGCCCACAGTAGCGACCAATGATAGGTGAGAAACCAAAGGGCCCATCGCGGACTTCGATGTGGTCAAATTTACACTCCCAGGATGGCTCAATGGAATACTTCTCCTCAAAGAACAAGTCAATGCACTGTCGGGGGGAGGCTACAAGCGGAGGAGGGTGTGTGAAGGGGTGAGGTGAACAAAGGCAGGGGTATACACAAGGCTTGAAAAGTGATTTAAAGACTAAGGAGAATGAGAGCCGATCTGGACCAACAATATCAATCCTGTTTTAACGTCTGAATAACAAAAACTACATTTTACCGAGGCTGATTTACAACAATGTTGAACTGAAGAAGGTCAATCTTCATCTCACCTTCTATAATGTAGACACACTCTCTCTCAGGAGGGTATTTCTCAGGGTAGTTAGGTGAAGTGAAGTACCCTCCATCAGGTTCCTTCACCCATGCCCCACACTGGTCTGCTGGGGTCACGCCTGAGTTGTTCTTCACTGAGAATGACAGGACCACAGGAAGAGACAAAAAGAACAGTCAGCCTCGCATTCACATGAATTATCATTAAGCTGTACTGTGGTGTCAATACCTTGAGTTTTCTTTTTTACAGCTGTGGTGGCTGTCAGCTGAGTCGAGACAAGGCTTGAGGTAAACACTACAACACAGGAAAGAAACACGCTTAAACTAATGATACATTTTCAACAGGTAAACCTCTGATGTCCTGACTGTGTGGTTGGTCGACCTACAACTCTGTCCAGATAATATGCTTGCAAATGAAAGCTGAGGTGAGGAAAAAGTTCATTTTTAGTGGCTTATTTTGTTTTTAAAATGTTGGTTCAAAAGCTTTAAATTTGCTTGTTGCTATACTATACCAAACACTACACTAAACATATACATCTATTGGCAACGCTACTCCCCTCATTAACATTGAAAAATAATAAAAACATTGATAATTATATTCAACAACAACTAAATAGTAAGAATAAGAATAATAAGGTAGAACTCACCAACAGACAGCAAAAGTTTCAGCATCATTACCGTTTTCTGAGGCTGAGCAGCTTCATCTGCCTGTGAAATCAGGGGATTAAACAGACCTCAGTCTCTGCTCCACCTTCAAGCTGCTGCATTAATCCTCCTGGACACAAATGCACACACGTACACAGACCCTTCATCCCTAATAACAATTATTGCAAGTTAATGCTTAATCCTAACTTTAATTATATATAATTATATACATAACATGTTTGTTAATTGTTTTTATATAAATACAATAACGTTTAATAATAATAATATCAATGTTTGGCACATTTTACCCTAAATAAACTACTTTCTTATGTATCCAGGAGGGGGCAGCAAATTCTTATAATCATCCCTCCATCCATTTTCATCGGTTACCGGGTCGCAGGGGCAGCAGTCTCTTTGACCGCCACCCAAATCACACTGCACCGTACGAACCCCCCTGAACCTGTGGGGGGTGAGTCCACTGAAAGGTACCAACCGCCCTAACCGGGATTCGAACTTGCCCAGGAGGTGAACCCTGGGGTTCCACACCAATGACAGAGATATTGCCTCTGGGCCAAAGCCTTTTTTTTCATTAATTTTGTTTTAGTTGTAAACAAAACAACAACTACTACCATGCAGGGGGATTCATATAAATACTCTTTATATTTGATTAAATTACCAGTTTACTATTCGTTTTTTTGCCTTTGCTTAGTTGGAGGGACGTCACAATAACATTCCTGCATTTTTAAACATTATTCTTTTAGATTAAAGACCTGAGATTAAATCTCCAGATTAGAGTTGCAGAAGTAATCTGCAGCAGGTTTTCACATAATCTTCCGACCAAAAGAAATAGACACACATGAATGTCACATTACATTTGACTTAATAAACGATACAATACAAAATCATACGTATTTCAACATACATACAGATTTTCTTTTTTCTTTTATTTTAGTAAAATAATATACTTTAAAATACTTTGTAAATATAATCAATAAAAATACTCTCAATCAAATCACAGCACATGGTTCTTGCCCAGGGATGGGAGCAGCAGCGAGGGAGGGAGAAGGAGAAAGGAGGGGTGTTCTTGGTTTTACGTTGCTAAGTGCAAAAGTTCTGGCATATAGAAAGACAAATAATCAGCATTGCCATGCAGCAGCAGCAGCAGCAGCAGCAGCAGCAGCAGCAGCAGCAGTGCAGTGGGACCAAAGGAATTCCACAGGAACCCACACAGACCCCTGTGAAATCCAGTGTCCTGCTGTGTGGATGTGAAGGAGAAAGGACAGGACACTCTCCTGACTCAGGACTCGTGATAAATGAAATGCCTTTGTATTAGGATATTGCTGCTGTGTAATCATTTGGATGCACCTGGAATACTGTTCCTGGGAGATTCTACTTTGAAAAGCTTGGCAGAAATACAAGGTAACTATCAAACACTGTTTTCTTTTTTCATGTCAGTAAAATATGAATAAATAGAAAACAATAACATTAATTAAACAAATAAAGCAGTTTTACAAATTAATGTACAGAATAATGCAGTCTTTAGTGTAAACTGTTGTCTAAGCAGAACGTACAGTTATCAGCACTACAACTATCTTACCTAAGAGAAGTTGTATCTTTAAAAATTTGCTCAGACTGAACTGGAGACCAAAACCACCACAATCACATGAGACAGTATAGATGTAATATTTTATATTCTCTATACAACACGCCATGCTTTCGTCGCCTTCATTCAACAGGTGCTAAGTGACGATAACAATGTTGTGTCAACCCTCACGACCAGACAAACTGAGGAGTCTAACCCACACCAGACCATGGAACTACTTTCTCTTCTAAACAATGACAAGTCTCATTATAATAATTCACACTTAGATTTTCAGCACTCAAAATGTGTAAAATTTTAATTAAGTAATATTGTATATATAATATTATATATATATATATTAATATTGTAATAGTACCTACTTTAATAACCATCAATTAACTTCAGCTGTCGAACAGATGACAGATGTCAAACTTTAATTTTAAAAATCATTTCATGAACTTGTTAGTATATACAGTACTGAAAAGGATTGACTGAATTCATCTGTTGTTGTGGAAACCCAAAGGTACTCACATTAACATGTATTTTCTTTTTTCCTGCAGTCAGAGAACCATCTGATCCAGTCAGATATTTCCTCCCACTATGAAGACCCTTCTTCCTGTCTCAGGCTGTGTTAGAACAGTGGGGTTGTTCCTGTGTTTTAGCCAGACCGTCCTGGCCATGGTCATCACTAACTCCACAGGACTTGAGTCCATCCTGGACAACTACAGGGACAAGGATGAGGAGTGGTGGAGGGTGAGGTCTAGGGGAAAGAGGGCGATCAGTGAGGGAGACATGCACCTGATTTTGGACCTGCACAACAAGCTGCGCGGTCAGGTCCACCCCCCTGCCTCCAATATGGAGTACATGGTAACCTGTACATAAAAACATAACAAAAAATGATTATTAATTATTATTTTTTAAATATTCATATCTTTAATAAACCTCACATATCCCCTGGTGTGCCTCAAACCTCAGATAATTTGTTAACTCCTGAACATTTTCCCCATCCTTCTCCTCTGTTTTCTCTAGATATGGGATTATGAATTAGAAAGAAGTGCAGAGCACTGGGCTCATACTTGCCGGTGGGAACATGGACCGAGCCACATGTTGACCCAGATAGGTCAAAACCTTGGAGCTCACTACGGCAGGTGTGTATCCATTAGACTGTGTTCAAATCACAAGCCATTCTGTGTAATTCTTTAGTGACTTACAGTATGATTTCAAATAGACCATGTATGTATGTATACAGGGAACATTTTAAATGTATATAAAATGTATTTAAAATATAGAAATATGAAATTTTAAAATAATATATTGGCATAAAGCTAGTTATCAAAGTGTGTGACATTTTAGGGACCGTCCTCCTACCTACCATGTCCAAGCCTGGTATGATGAGGTGAGATACTACAGCTATCCCTACTCCCAGGAGTGTAATCCACACTGCCCGTTCAGGTGTTCAGGACCTGTATGCACTCATTACACCCAGGTAACCTTGGTCATTCATTGTTATTTGAATTTAAAGCTAGGGTAAGAAAAAACAAAATGTTAATCTCTGGTTAGCGCTGGTGGAGTAAAAAAACTGATGTTGGACGTCAATATTTTTATCGTTGTTTTTACAGAAAAGTCAGAGAGAAACTTTTGTTCAATTTTGGACTTTAAAATCTTCATATACTTATAATGAACATTTGGGGGTGCAGTTGCTATACCCCTCTATATAAACTATAACAGTGTCATATAAATGCTCAGCATCTGACTGTGGCTTCTGAAGGTTCTTTATTTTGTGTGTTCCACTTGTAGTTGGTTTGGGCAACCAGTAATCGCATTGGGTGTGCCATCAATGTGTGTTACAACATGAACGTGTGGGGAATGATCTGGGCAAAAGCTGTCTATCTGGTGTGCAACTACTCTCCACCGTAGGTTTCTTCTAAATTTAAATATTTACAATAGATTGTTTCACTAAATTTAAATATTTACAATAGATTGTTTAACTTTTTATTTGTGTCTTCTTTGTTTTGCAGTTTTGATTTTTTTTTTTATCCTTTTCCTTCTGCAAATTTGGTATAATTACCAGTTTCTGAATGATTTTTCCAGGGGCAACTGGTGGGGTCATGCCCCTTATAAATACGGAGCTCCCTGCTCTGCCTGTCCTGCCAGCTACGGTGGAGGCTGCAGAGACAACCTGTGCTACAAAGGTGAGTTACAGTTTTATTTTATATCATTAACATATAATCAGCCATAGTTATTCTTAAAAAGAATAAATTATCTGTGGTTTAAAAATGCTCAAAGGTTTTTATTCAGCATGTTTTTACCACACTTCCAGATGGAGGCGTGGACAGGCGAACAGCTCCTGAGCTCGAGGAGTCCAACTACATTGAACCTGATCCTGAACCAGTGAGTGAAGATCCTGAACCCAGGGCTCAGTCCCCAGATCCCCCATCCACTTACAGCCAAGAGACAAACCCAGTGGTCAGCACAGAGCAGATGAGTAAGGAAGACTTTCTTTGACAACAAATTTCTCAAAGAAAAAGTCAACTTCATCAAGACGGACCAGGTTTATTAAAATAATCCTCTTTTATTCCAGGTCAACAGGTCGAGTGTGAGACCAAGCTGAGAGACCATTGTAAGGGAACAACCTGTAACAGGTACATGATGTATTATATGTACGCAATATACTAGTAGTACAACGGATGGTACCTCATGTGACAACACTTGGATAGGAAATAAACCTTTTGACTTTGATTGATTTGTTCCGTTCATAGATACGAGTGTCCACCTGGCTGCCTCCACAGATCTGGTAAAGTGGTTGGAACTGGATTTTATGACATGGTGAATGACAAGGAACAGATATCATGTGTATATTGCAACTGGATTTTATGACATGGTGAATGACATGGAACAGATATCGTGTGTATATTGGTGCAGTGTGAGATAATGCACAGCAAATATTTGCATACTGCACAATTAGAGTTTATACTCTATATGTTGCAGATGCAGTTCAAAAATAAATGTTCTTTCTTCTTTCTTGCAGCAATCTAGTGTGTGTGGAGCTGCCTTACACTCTGGTGTCATTGACAATGATGGAGGATGGCTTGATGTCACCAGACTGGGCAGAAAACAACAATTCACTAAGTCCTATAAAAATGGTATTCAGTCACTCGGGTATGTATCTGTCTCAGTATTTCTCTATTTTTTTTTTTAAATGTTGATCAAGCTTCTCTACCTTTTTATTTATTTATTAGATGCTAATTTCCTTGTTTCCTTATATGTTAATGGTTGTCGTTATTTTCACAGAAAAAACAGAAGTGCAAATTCCTTCAAAGTAGAGAAAGTACCAGGTGAGGTGCATTCAGTTACTTCTTGATGTCAGCACGGATGTGTGATGGGTTCTATTAACAGAAAGTACATAAAGTATTCTATTTTCTATTCTATATCCTATTCTATATTAACAGTTTGCTGTTTGATTTTCCTCTGTCAGTCAAAGCAGTGAGATGTGATACCAGCGTGGCTCTTTTCTGCCCCTTCAAGAAACCAGTACGACACTGTCCCAGGTGAAGCCCTTTCTGATATTCACTTCAGTACTACTTCAGCTGTACTACATGTACTGTGGTACTGTAGCTCTTGCACAAAATTGCAAAGAAATATTTCTAGTCCGTTCTACTGGTACCAATCTGTGGCCCTAATGATTATGGAACCTTTGATATTACCTGTTGTTCCTCAGGTTGTACTGTCCCAGGAACTGTTTACAGGAGAGAGGGACACGAGTCATTGGGACCAAGTATTACTCAGATGTAAGTTCCCTGTCTTATTCCATTGGCTTTATTTAAGGCAATGGATGTATATATATATATATATATAAACTTTTTAAAAGTCTCCCTGCAATTTCTGAGTATTAAATCTAAATTTAAAAAAGGGTATTTTTTCAGAAATCAAGCATCTGCAGAGCGGCAATTCATGCTGGAGTGATCCAGAGTGATTCAGGAGGTTACCTCGATGTCATGCCCGTGGACAAACGGCAGCAGTACAACGGCAGCGCCCAGAACGGAATCACATCAGAGAGGTAAATATACAGTATATATTTACCTCAATGTACCAATGTACATTTTTCAAACTGTTTTATTCGAAGGTTTGAAGAAAAACATGCAAAAATGATAAGAAAATATAAAGAAAAATCTGTTTCATCATTAATTTATCATTACTTTTTACTTTTTAAAACTTGTGCTAACAGCATGGATGTAAGCTGCAAAAAAACAACAAAAAAACAACCTCAAATATTTTTGCCATCTTTAAATCTTCTTTAAATACGGTTATTGTTTGTATATACAAAAAAAAAAACAATGAATAAAACATTCATATCATAAACTGTGGTCTGCTACAGATCTAAAGTTTCATCGTTTATTCACCATCACCTTCCTCTCCCCTACCACGTTACTCCCACAGCTTACTGAACCCAACAGGAGGAAAGGCCTTCAGAGTGTTCACAGTCATCTGAAAAACTACACTCCTGAAGGCAGCACCATCAAACATACAAACCCAACCTGCGTAGGACATCCTGTAATTACAATGAGACTCACAGTAAATACACCAACCTGTCAACCTCTGACTCTGAAACGGTCATTTTTATGGTTTAAATTTTAGTTTTGGCCTTAGTCAAGGGACCAACACAGTGAAAATCATCTTTATTTATGACACCAGCCACACACACCAATGTAAAACATGACACCATGACATGGTGTAACTTTGTTTTAATGTAATGCAACATGTTTAGCACAACTACAGCTGCCAGCTCTAATTTAAATTGACATCAGCCACAGACAGACCACAACTTAATCTCAGTTAACATAATCCTCAATTTTCCTGTTTTTAGACAGTAATTGGAAGCTGAAGGACATGATGGGCCATCGGTCTGATAGTCTTTAATTACATCAAAAATGTGATAGTTAAATATAACATTTGCAATTAGACATGTTGTGACCTCATAGACTTTGAGGTCATTGACAGAGGAGTTTTTAAAAGAAAAGCACTTGTGTTTATTTGCATGACCTCATATTTCCTCTGTCTTCACAGTCACCTCTCTCACTTGGTCTGTCTTCTCAGTTAAGTGTACTTTTGTGGGATTTAGCAACATCTAGAGGGAAAGTTTCATGATGCAGCTCCAATTCTCTCTGGGAACAAACGAAATAACTGAATATGAAACAATGACACACACACACACACAAAAACATCCCTAATAATTAACTTCATTAATTTGTTTCTAAATATGGTTTTACCATTGACCAGCTTGTGTTTGTAGATCTATATACAGTACAGTGAACTGACCCTGGCTGGCCAGGGGTGTGCATGGCAGAATTATAATAAAGTATTTGGAAAACTAGTTTGATAATTTTTTCTTTATATTTTATTTTGGTATATATTTATTGCAATGTCTCTCTGCTTTTGAGATAAGGAAAACGTGGACACAACCTTTTTGTTCCCTGTATAAGACAGATCAGCACAAAGCCAAGAATATGCCATATATGCTACCTGGGTTAGGGCCAGGTCTCCTTGACAAATTAGGAAAGCATCGTAGTGTTGTCAAAATTCACAGTACCCTGCTGCAGAGGCGGCCGTTGGCATCACACTCAGGTCACCTCCTGAGGTCAGTGAGGCAACATGTCATTCAGAAAACCCCCTCATTCTGCCCCAGCATCAGTCAAACAGCAGTGTATCCAAACATAGGGGTGAGGACACTGTCTCTGCCAGTCTTCAGAAGGTTAAAAGTCATAACTGTTGTCTCGTGGTTCTGGTTACAGGCCTGGAACATTTCATCCAAGTCATTTCATTTCAGTAGAATATATGAGTCTTTTCATAGCCATTGAATAAATAGTCATGACTACATTTGTGTAAGTTTAACAAAACACAGCTCCAACTATGGCCGTTGCCAATTTTAGCGATAAGACTGATTTGCCGTTGCGTGTTGGTCGGGAAAAAACACAAAAGTCAAATGAACATAGCAATTATGAGGGTTTTTGAAATACTGTTGACATTTGGACACAGCTGGCCGGGCCTGAACACACCGGTGTGTATGCATGGAGTGTTTGTGTTTGAACGTACCGCTACAGCTGCGTGTGTGATGCGTGCGTGCGTGCGTGCGTAGAAGTGAGAGACTGTCTAAATATAACCGCTACAATCACGGTCGGACCTTATTGCTGGCTCGTCAAGTGGTCAGGTCTGGGCGGGCCCACGCTGTGCATGTGGGCTGACAATCACTGCAGACAGTAGGTGTGTGTGTGGTTGGACTTCCTCCTCTCAACTCCTCTGCACCTCATAGATTTAGACATTATTATTATTTTGACATAGTTAGCAGCTGTGTTTTGGTAGCTAAATGTGATAATTATCTCCTCATTGGTGGGTTCTCTGTTGGTAGAGGCATATTTTTAACCATGGTAACTGCCTGCTTCATTTTACTTTCACATGACACAGTACAGACGCCTTTTAAAGTCACAGAATCCCACCTGAGTATTCTATGGTCCACTTACTATTCACAAACATATTTGTGTATATACATATGTACATAGATATATGTACATATAGGTACATGTAAATATATGTATGTAGCTATATGTACTTTGGTGTGGGATTAGTAAATATTACTTACACTTAGATGTTTGAATTTGTATTATTCATGCTGGGATAATGACCTACACTTCTTCACCCTACAGTGGACTAATTTTCATTTTCTTTTCACAGCTCTGCCTCAAATTTACCCACTTTTTTATTCCTCCTCCCTCCTCTGCATAAAGACGTTCAATTCCGTTTGCAGACTGTAAATGTAATTTACAGATTAAACTTTGTGACTTTGTGTAGATTTAAAGAAGGACGGGGGTTCGGGCCTCATCAAAGCTCCTCACCTCTCACTGACCAAACACACACACACGTACAGTAGTGATCTCAAACTCAGAGGATGGCCTTGGCAGCCTTCCCTCTCCTTCTGTTTTGTTGGTAACCCACATGCAGACCTCCAGTGCCAGCAGAGTGTGGCAAGGGAAGAAAAGAGTCGCTTTTCGTCACAGTTCCACGCTGTTCACAGACTTTCTGTATGGCCTCCCCAACCCCCGTTCTCAGCTGGTACCCCCTACCACCACCACCATAGAACCCACATCGAAACTTTCCTCTTGGACCTAAAATAGTTGTCTGAGTGCTGGCCACACTTGCCTGGTGCCCTCCTGTCGCCAGTGGGCTGGATGCACACCCTGACCAAGGAGACTAATTTGACCTGACTGGTTGGTTACAAAATTAATTATTTTTATTGCCAAATGAAATTAGACACAATATACAGAGAATTGCAATTCATACACTTTGTGCTTTGGTGACTTATGCAAAGAAATAAAAAAGGTAACACCTGAGTTAGGATTGAAAAGGTTAAAAGGTCGGTCTGAGATAAAAACAGTGATTCTTTCT